AAGAGACTCTTCATTGTATTCGATATGCTCTCAGAAGGTGATGACTCATCTCTTGGCAGACTGTCCTCGTCCGAACGACAGCTTGTTTGTTGATCAATCGGAGATAATTTACTCGATATATTCGTGATCTTTTTTATTGTGAATCGTTAAGTAATTTTAGTAATGATGCTCCACAAATCATTTTGATGAGATTTTTGCTAATGATTGAGCAATTTAGCAGCTTAATCTTTCATCAGCAATCTATAGGAAAATCATGATTTAATTATATAAAAAGAAATGAGTTTGGCCCTTATAAGATTCAAACTCGCACCAGTCGCTCGTCTGCATGAGATAAAGTGAAATAAGTACTCGAATACCCTTATACAATGACGTTATCATGATATCTTGTTTTTAGTATTAAAATCATTGAAAATGTTATGGGGAAGGTGTGACTGTTGGTTTAGTCCTATGTCAATTATATGCCAAATTTTGAGATGCATATATACTAATGTGGGATTTTGGAACCAATGAGTTTCTTTCTCTCGTATGTATGACCACTCCTTGCCCCATGCTTGGTTGGTCACCAGTGATATGGAAGGGGAGTGACGCACACGTGTCCCCATCAGTCCATAGCCGCTCAAGCCCCTACTTGCAGCTCTGCCCCGACTATACTTCCGACCTATTTGCGGGCCCAACTAGCCGGCATGTCCCTCTTTTTTTATCTTTTTATTTTATTTTATTTTTCTTCATTGATCTCAAAAACAAAATTATAAAAATTATATAAATTCACATAATTAGCCAAAAACTCACATTAACTAAATAAAAATCACAATCACAAATATAAGTCTATTTATCATGAGTTAAAGCTAAAATTATATTATTTATTAATTATTAAATCATGATAATAAAGACTTATCACTTTTCTTACAACATTGCCAACAACTACCTCCTTTAGATCTTGAATGGCTTCTTCCTTTTGATTTTTCTTTGTCCCATTGATGACTTCTCTATTATGATCTTCTCCTGCTTTCAACACTCAATGCAAATATGTTCTTCTCCCATGATTCTCTTCTATGAACATCCTCGCTCAAAATCAAATCTCAGACCTCATTCAACTTCATTTTTTTTTATCCTGGAGAACTACTCACAATAGTCACATTGGCACCCCAACTCTCGAGTAGAGAGGATAATAAGATTAAAACCTTAATCTCATCATCAAAATCAATATCAACTGAACTTAATTGACTAGTTTGCAGATTAAATTCATTGATATGGTATGTAATTGAAGAACCCTTTATCATCTTTAGATTAAACAGATGTTGCATGAGATATACCTTGTTTGACACCGACGACTTCTCATACATATTTATGAGAGCCTATATTAAACCAGCCATGGTGTTCTCATTTAGAATGATGAACGCAACATTCTTGATGAGCATTAGTCAAACCACTCCTAGGGTTTGTCGGTCCAGCAAGTCCTAATCCTCTTGCAACATCGTCTCTAGCTTCACATCAACCAAGGGTTTATGGAGCTCCTTTTGGTAGAGGTAGTCCTTTATCTGCATCTTTCAAAAATTGAAATCCTTTCCATCAAACTTGTTGATCTTGACTTTCCCTTCATTTGTCAACATTGTTCCCACTCTTCTTCTCGAGATAGAGCTTCCCCAGTTTAGGGTTCATGAACCAGAGCGCCTACAACTTAAGCTCTGATACCAATTGTTGGGGATGACAACTTTGTGCCGACTGTGTCCTCTCCTCACACAACGAAAAAAAAGTGTTTGAGAGCAGAAGAAGGATGAAGACAGAGAGAAAAAGAACACTAGAAGGGGGAAAATAGAGATTTATGTGGTTAAGAGAAACCCTCTTATGTCCACGGTCACATTAGCAATATACTATCTCACCGAAGAGCAATCATCTCAGAAGAACATACACCAGCGTAGTCACCGCCGAACACCACTGCAGGCATTGTCGAACAGCTGCCGCCACAACTACAACCGCAGCACAAAGAAGGAGGGAGGTCTGCCGCTTCGTCGTCGATCACTCTGTTGATCAATGCACGAGCTCCTTTCTCCTCTCCTCTCCTAATTCTACAGTTGGGCAAGACGAACATGGCATGGGCAGAAGACGAACGATTAAATACAAAAATCGATATTGTCAACCTCCTTTCACCCCCTTTGTATACCCCTTTTTTGGATCCTTTAGTTGGATCCACACATCATCTGTGTCTTGGGCTTGGGTCCACACACTTGCTGCTATTCTGGGCCTTGATTAATTCTCCACATATTCTAACACAATCTCTAGATTTTCTTACAAAGTCTAAAAATCAATGAAGTGAGTTGATGAATCGTCTCTAATGACTATCACCTAGTGGAGTAGAAAAATGACGACTTTGCATATCTTCAGCAACTATCACCCAATGTAGATAAATTGGATAAAAGTGAAGTGCGTCTTAGGGCGCTTCATCCTCAGTTCCGCAAAACAAAATGAGACTTTTCATTACATCTAGTATGCTCTTAGAAGGTAACAATTCGTCTCTTAGTAAATCGTCATCTTTCTAACAACGGCTTGTTCATCGATTAATTAGAGATAATTTACTCAATAGATTCATGATCTTTTTATCATGATTATTCATAATTTTTTAATAATGATGTTTCACGAATTGCATTTATGACATTTTTGTTGATGATCGAGTGATTTTGATGGTTTAATCATTGACATATAATCTATAAGAAAATTGTGATTTAATTAGATAAAAAATATGAGTTTTGACTCTAGTGAGATTTGAACTCTTATCCCACCTACATGAGAAAGAGTGAATAAGTACGCAAATACTCTTATAAAATGACATTATAAAGGTATCTCATTCTCATAAATAAGGAATATTTTAAGTATTAATATCATTAAAAACCTTCTAGGAAGCTGTGAGCGGATTAAGTCTCATATAAGTTATTTTTTGAATTTTGAGATAGATATATAATAACACAAGAATGTGTGATCAATAAACCTTTCTCTTATGTGTGTGTGAGAACTTCTTACCTCACACTTGATTGGCCACCAGTGACGTGAAAGGGGAGTGACACACACATGTCTCCCTCACCATTCCTTAGTAGTGTGAGCTCCTTGCTTGTAAGCCCCCTTGACTATTTCAGTTTGGTTAGCTAGTGGGTTCGTTTTTTTCTATCTTTTTATTTTATTTATTTCTCTTCATTTATCATAAAAACATGATTATAAAAAATATATAACTTCACATAAAATCACATAATTAATTAAAAATATATATTAACTAACTAAAAACTATTTTTCACAATTTAACACGAATATAAGTCTATTTATCATGAGTTAAGGCTAAAACTATATTATTAATTAATTATTAACTCATGATAATAAAAACTTATCACTTACCTCATTGATCTATGTGTCAAATATCATCATCCTAATATTTATTTATATAATTCTCAAATTAATATTTTTTATGTAATGAACTTTTATAAATACATAATTAATTTACATAAAATAATCTATTTTTTATGTATAAAATATTTTAGTTGGTGAAATGCATTGTGTATGTACCCATAGTTTGAACAAAATCTCATCACCTTGGTGTAATTATTTCAAAATAATCAATATCATTTATTTTAATATTAAGTGTGTATTTAGCACCTATAGCTACATCTTCTATGACCCTCAATGGTGAGAAAACAAATATCCAACAAGGGACAATGCCAAAATATTAGTTTGTACACTTTTTGTTGATTCCTAGCCTACCGTGTATTGACATGTATATGGAATTTTTTTTAGGATTACCATGAACATAGTGAAAAATAGATTATATTTTTGTTGTTGTTGTTGATCAATTTTATAAAATGACATATTTTATCATATGCAAGAAGACAAATGATGTCCTTTAGGTAGCCAACTTACTATTTACGAAAATAATTCACTTACATGAAGTTCTTTAATTAGTTGTATCTAATTTAGGCTCAAATTGAAGTAATAAATATGATATTAGATAATTTTATTTAATATATTTCATGAGATAAATTAAGATATCGTAATTATGTTTTGACTCAAATAGATTTTGTTTATAATTCAATAATCAATTACTTTGCTAACTGATCCTAACCTTTTAATGTTTACTATTTTTATCTAAATATTCCTCTAAATCTATTGAATTTATCAAAACATACAAGAAAAAGTAGTATAAATTATAACATAATAAATTATATCAAAACAGCATGAACAAGTGTTGGTAAATTTATTTCTATAAATTACAACTATAAAGAGGCAACATAGAAAACAATATTAAAGATCTTTGAAGTGGATGACTTAATTATGATATGTTTAGATAAATAAAGAACTCCAAATATACTTATAATAAGGTGATGTAAAAAAAAATAGCATGAATATTTCTAGCACTTTAAAATGAGTTGTAAATATTAAGAAAACTAATAGAGAGCCTCAGACCTTATTGGATCCAATTAAATTACGAAAAAATAGATTTTCTATTTTGTTTATGCCTCAAATCTATTTTGATTTTTTTTTCAAAGTTTATTTATTTCTTGGGTTGTCTTGCTTTTTCTAAAGGCCCCACATTTATAATTTTTTCTCCATTTTTTGATTAAAATAATTTCCTCAATCTTGAGGTCATCCCTATTATACTTCGTGGTAATTAATAGAAACTTAATGCTAATAAAAGCATTACTATTTAAATATGTAACATAATATGCCTGATAATTATTTTTAAATATATTTTGAATTATAATACTCTGTTACTGCAAAATAAAAAAATTATATTGGGGAGAGATTTTGCGTGATGAAGCGACTTCCTTGGTCCACGTGTCAAATCCTTACGGTTATCCGGACCCGGAATGGAATCGGATATCCGAAGTGCAGACCGTCATTGTCTTCTTGCGTTACCACTTAACGAACTCTCTCTCCCTCTCTCTCTCTCCCAAGGCCCCTATTCCTCGCAAGCTCTCCCTTTCAGATCTCCGCTCCGCCGCCGGTGAGGGCCGGAGAAGATGGAGCCGGACGTGAGCATGGAGACCGGCTCCATGATCCGTGTCGCAGTGCTTCCTGTGGGGGGTCCAGTTCCCCCGGACCAGCTCCGGGACTATGTATCCATGCTGGTGCGACACCAACAAGTCGCGCTCTCCTCCATCAGCTCCTTCTACATGGAGCATCAGAAGAGCCCCTTCACCAACCAGCCATGGGAGACTGGCAGCCTCCGATTCAAGTTCATGGTCGGCGGCTCCCCGCCCAGCCCCTGGGAGGACTTCCAGTCGAATCGGAAGATCCTGGCCGTCGTTGGCATCTGCCACTGCCCCTCGTCGCCGGATCTGGGCCTCGTATCGGAGCAGTTCACAGCCGCCTGCAAGGGTTACGCCTCGGCTTTGGTGGAACGGTGCTTCGCCTTCTGCCCCAGCGACTCTCAGGTGCTTACAGAACCTAATTCGCATTTCCCTCTATCGATATAGATGGATCGCGCCCTTGAAATGAGCGGATTTACTGAGCTTGTATAGCCATTTTTTTCATTTGTCACTGCCGGTGACATAATTTCACCTCGAAAAGACGAGTAAGTTCGCCGAGGTTTACATGTCTTCGTATCTCGAGTTCAGATTGTTACGTCCCGTTCTTCTGTTATTCATTGATCGCGAGGCAAGTGACTTGGGATACCTCATTAAATTTGGCTTGTCTGTCTTCCTAACGGAAAAATCGTCTTTCTAGTTATCCTGGCATGCCAGAGAAGAGAAGGGTACAAATGTGATGTTGAATCGACACTGGTGAAATGTAGGTTTTAAATAGCTTAATATGCAAAGTGAAACGCTAGAAATTTGAAGAACACCGCACGTTTAGGTTTCGAGGACCTTTTCACCCACTTGAGATATTTTTTGACGATTTGAAAATGTATGGTTTAAAAATAAACATCTAGGAAGCCCTCCCAGGAGGCTTTCTAAACTGATTTGGACTTTTTCATCCCATTTTTAAGAGTCGAGCTTTGCTTTACTTTTATCTCTCCTTCTATCAACAATATTTTGTCGGCGCATGTGTATTCGAAGTGTCTGTTCCTTGGAACTTGAAAATAGATGAGTTTAGAAGAGTCTCACTAAGCGTGATATGTCCTCAGTTCTTTAGGCTTTCACGAGATTTAGACTGCGTCTGACCTGGCGTAAACTCCCACTATAAATGTTTCACAAGACCTACCCTGAGTCTAGTGAGGCCCTATTTGCCTGTGTACAAGTTCTACAAGATTTTGCACATTTTCTAATTGGACCTTAGTTCCCAATATAGACCTTTTAAAGCGATCCTCATCATTGTCTTAATTCTCTGGTTACTCCCTCAACTTATTACTCATTTCATTCCGTTATTTGACAACTCTGCACGAGTGAAACCTGACCCTATGTGTTTGACTTTGAAAGGGTCGCTGAAAATTAGTTGGCTACAAAGGCTGCTCTGTAGATGCATGTCCCTATAAAGGGGTCATGTATACATCCCTTGGAGATTATCCATCAAAATAGGGACATTGCCTTGAGATGTCTGAATGACATGCCACCTTTTCTAATGGCTTGTCGGGGTACAGAGCGTACATGGTGCATTGACTGTTTGTCGCCCAACATTATGCAACGAAAGGCACTTCTGAATATACTTAACAGAAGTTATAGCAATTAATTTATATTTTTCTTTGCTGTAAACCTTTTTAGGCCTAATTGTGTCAAGAACCTTCTTCATTTGGTAACTTAGTGCAACCAAGCGCTTTCAAATGGCACTGAAAAGGAACCTACTATGTTCGTCTCCACAAAAGTATCTACTATCGTTCCATGATACCACAGTGTTCTCTTTTCATGTGATGGTTTATTTATTACCTTCTCACAGAAAATAGTGTCTGTACAAATTGTAATCTCCATCATTTGAATTTATTATTTTTTATGAACCATCTTTGTTTTCGTTCATATTATTTTGATTTTTCTGTCACCACATCATTTGTAAATTCTTCTTTTTTTGACAGCTAGAGGACAAGTTCAACAAAGACCGTCGTATAATATTGTTCCCTCCCTCTGATAGGAAAACTCAGGAATTTCACATGCTGACAATGGTTCAGGACCTTGCTGCCTCATTGCTGATGGAATTTGAGAAATGGGTTCTCAGTGCAGAATCTGCTGGGACAATTTTAAAGACGCCTTTGGATTCTCAAGCCAGTCTTAGCTCAGAAGAGGTTGCAATTCTTTTCTTTTTCAATTTTGGAGGAGGTTAATTATTTTTAGTTTCAAGTCAACTAAGTTATTGACTGAAAAGAAACTTATGCAACGTCATTTGGTGAACACAGTTTATCAAGGCCAAGAAAAAAAGGCTTGGTCGTGCGCAGAAGACAATAGGAGACTATTGTTTGCTAGCTGGATCACCTCTTGATGCTAACGCTCATTACACTACTGCAATAGAGCTTGCCAGGTTAACAGGAGATGTTTTCTGGCATGCAGGGGCCTTGGAGGGTAGTGTCTTTGCCCTACTGGTAGGGACACTCTTTAAGATTGGTAAATGAAATACATGTTTTCACTGAAATTATGACTTTCCAAATGCATGAATTGGTTGAAGTTTTGTTGTCAGACAATTATGCTGTCATCCTGAAATTTTGTTGAAGACATTTTCAAGTCAGTGTATTGTCTTCTATGTGGACAGGTGGATCGAATAGATGTTAGAGACCCTGCACTTGAAGAGGAGGTAAAATATCGTTACTTTACTGTCATCCAGCTGTACAGAAGGTCATTTCTTCCAGATAATTCCCGAAGGTAGTTGTCTGTTCTTTCTATCTTATTCCAAAAGTAGAGTCAGGTTGACAACCTATTAGTTTTCTTGTTGACTCCTTTTATAACACTTTACTTTTTTTCTTCATAAACTACTTCCGTTTTTTTTTTGTCCGGTCACTTTTGTTTTATGTTAGATTATTGAAGTATTATATAATTTCCCTGATTCCCGTATATACTACAGTCCTGCAAAAAGGAAAAATATGAGAATGGCAAGATACTTCTTTTTTGTAGCCATTGTTGTGTACAAAATTTAATAAAATAGTTTTGTTTTCAGTACTACGCGAATGATAATACCTAGGTGCTATTTTAGTGAGTAACATTATCCATTGTCTTCCGCATTTTTCTTGTAGAAATAGGTTTTCTCCACTGGTTTGTTTGCACCTTTTGCAACTTCTGAAACGTGGAAGACACATGAATGATTGATTTTTCTGCATAAACGATCTTTGTGCGCTTTGTTACATTTCTACCAATTATATTCGTATTCATGTACTGCGTTTTGTAAATTATTCCAAAATTCTTCTCTTAGATCTTCGTATTGCTGCTTAGACCATTTAACTACTTTTATCAAGCCGGACACTGATATTTCTACCCATACAGGAAGGAAAATTAGCGGATTCAAAAACTTTGTTTACTGTAATTTCATTCAAATTTGTATTTGTGTGACACCTTTCAGTGGAGTTCATTGTTAATTGCTTCATTTGTTTCTTGTAGAATTTCAACAGTGAGCTTTGAACTTGAGGCAACGTTGAGATTGGCTAGATTCCTTTGCCGGTAAGTTTCAGTTGATCCCATGAATTCCTTACAGAAAATCCAAGCATTCGAGTATTACAAACATATTCGCTTGTATATGTTTGTGTGCGTGTACCGTCCTTTATCTATCAATGTATCTATATTGCATCATGGCTTCCATAGGTTTTTTATTCGAATTTCTCACACACTCTTCTGATTTGAACACTGCCTTCACATGTTAACTCTGACGGCTAGAGAAGCCGGATTAGTTTTTCCTAAAGCGTCTTCTATTTTTCTAATGCCTGGAGATTACATGTCGACATTCTCAGTTCACGCCATCCTATTAGGTCTATTATCCACTCAATTATCACCACAACCAAGGTTGGATGATTCAGTTGTATCAGGACTAAATCTGAGTAAGAATGTCCCTCAAAATAGTTTCCCTGAAAATCTAACCCATATTGGGGATTAACATCTTGAAAAAGTGATGTGATTTGTACATTCGATGCTAGAGTTGCTTTTTGATCATTGATGATTATTATTTTTTATTTTTATTTTAACTCTTACTCAAAATCATGCCATTAAGATTGATCTTTGTGCATTCCTGGTTTTTTAAAATTAAATGTCTATGTTTTCTTTTTAATTCTTGAAATGTCTGCCTGCCAATTCTTTCTAGCTTTTGTATGTCACTTGAATATCTTAAGATGACTTTTTGGAGTATGATTTATCTGATCCCATACTTATTTAATTTCCAAGATCAACATATCTCTATCCATGCGACCAAATTTGCTTGATTAATATCGTTAACATTATAAATGTATATCTTTATCTTTTGTTCTTTATGGACCTTTCCTGCAATATACAATGTGTGCCTGACAATTTCTTATTTATTGTTTTTCCAATATTTCAAGGCCATCCGCTGAAAATGTGCCTGATATCTGCATCCATTCTCGCCATCTTTCTTAATTTCTTGGAAACCAATCACACGCTCGATGGGTCTGACACGTTCTCACTTTGTGAATCGTATTGACTTTTCAGCCATGAGCTTGCTAAAGAGGTGGTGGATTTATTGATGGGCGCTGCTGACGGTGGAAAGTCCCTCATCGACGCCAGCGACCGCCTGATTCTATACGTTGAGGTCGCTCGCCTATTTGGGACCCTTGGCTATCACCGAAAAGCTGCCTTCTTTTCACGTCAAGTTGCCCAGCTGTACTTGCAACAGGATAGCGCTTATGCTGCTATAAGCGCGATGAAGGTGTTGTCGTTGACTTCAAAGGCATACCATATTCAGAGCAAGAGAGGCGACTCCAATTCAGGTGCTTCCCCCAATGTAAGTTGTTCTTCTCCGTTTGATCTCCTTCTCTGACTGGTCTTTAGTTTCATTTCTGTCTTCTGATGCATTTGTCAGATTTAGAAATAAATTTTCTTTTTTTTCTTTTTTTTAATCTTTTGAAAGGAGGCAAAGTCAACGCACGCTGAGGGCGGAAAGGTGCACCTCCAGTCGATCGTCTCCTTGTTCGAGTCTCAGTGGAGCACCCTGCAAATGGTCGTTCTTCGAGAGATCCTGATGTCGTCCGTCCGCGCCGGAGATCCTCTCGCTGCCTGGAGCGCCGCAGCCCGCCTCCTCAGATTCTATTACCCCCTCATCACGCCCCCCGGCCAGAGCGGCCTCGCGAGCTCCCTCGCCAACTCAGCCGAGCGACTCCCGCAAGGAACCCGCTGCGCCGACCCTGCGCTCCCTTTTGTCAGGCACGCCCTCTGCCCCATCTATCTATCTATCTATCTATATCTCTGTCTCCGTACTCGTCCTCTGACCGTAGAACCCTGGATCAAGCAGGCTGCATTCCTTCCCGAGCCACCATCCCTCGCAGACGGACATCGTGAAGCGGACACCTGGGAAGGAGGACTGGTGGCTGGGCTCTGCCCCTTCCGGGCCCTTCATCTACACCCCTTTCAGCAAGTCCCCTTCCACCGGCGGCGCCGCCAAGCACCACAACCACCACCCGCCGGAGCTCACCTGGGTCGTGGGCGAGCCCGTCCATGTCCTCGTGGAGCTCGCCAACCCCTGCGGCTTCGACCTCACCGTCGACAGCATCTACCTCTCCGCCCACTCCGGCAACTTCGACGCCTTCCCGGTGAGCCTTCGTCTCCCCCCGACCTCCGCCAAGGTGGTTCCTTTGTCCGGCATCCCCACCGGCGTGGGCCCCGTCTCCATACCCGGCTGCGTCGTCCACTGCTTCGGCGTCGTCACAGAGCACCTCTTCAAGGACGTGGACAACCTCCTCCAAGGCGCCGCCCAGGGCCTCGTCATCTCCGACCCGTTCCGCTGCTGCGGCCTGGGAAAGGTGAAGCTGGCGGCGCCGCCCGCCATCACGGCGGCGCCACCGCTCCCGCTTTTAGTCGCCCACGTCGTCGGCGGCGACGGGGCGGCGATCCTGTACGAAGGCGAGGTCCGCGACATCTCCCTGAGGTTGACCAACGCCGGCACCGTCCCCGTCGAGCAGGCCCACCTGTCCTTCTCCGGCAAGAACCAGGACGCCGTCGTCAACGCCCCATACGAAGCTCTCAGGTCAGCGCTCCCCCTCCTCCCCGGCGCGGAAGTCAGCCTTCAAGTGACCGTCAAGGCCTGGCAGCTCTCCCCCGCCGACAGAAGGTCCAAGCAAGGAGCCAGCCCCCTCCTCGTCATCTACTACGCAGGTAGGTACTCCAATCTCTGTTCCTTCTTCTTCCTGAAACCATAGCGTGTCACTGTTTCTTCTCAGGGCCGGTGGCGGCGGCGCCGGGGCGGCGGCTGGCGGTGCCGCTTCAGGTCTCCGTCTCGCGGGGGTTGCGGTTCGTGAAGGCCCGGCTGCTCTCCATGGAGATCCCCGCGCGGGTCAGCGAAACCCTGCCGGCGGCGGCGCCGCCGGCTGGAGAGGAAGATGGCCGGAGAGGCGGGCGGCTGGTGAAGATCAACCCATACAGGGGGAGCTGGGGCCTCCGCCTGCTGGAGCTGGAGCTGTCCAATCCCACCGACGAGGGCTTCGAAGTCAACGTGGTGGTCCTGCCGGAGGGCGGCGCCGCCGCCGCCACCGACTGCTCGACGACCAGAATCGACAGGGATTACTCCGCCAGGGTGCTGATCCCGCTGGAGCACTTCAAGCTGCCGGTGATCGACGGCTCCTTCTTGGGCAAGACGGAGAGGAGCGCCAAAGCGGAGGTGGACGCCTGCATAGACAGCCTGATCTCGAAGATCAAGGTGCGGTGGCGGTCCGGGCGGAGCAGCCGCGGGGAGCTGAGCATCAAGGAGGCAGCGCAGGCGGCGCTGCAGAGCTCCGTCATGGACGTGCTCCTCCCCGACCCACTGACATTCGGTTTCAGGCTCCGGCGAACCGGCGGCGCCGCCATCGCCGCCAGCGAGATGGTCCCCCTGGAGATCCTCGTCCGCAACAACACCAAGGAGCTGATCAAGATGGACCTCACCATCTCCTGCCGCGACGTCGCCGGCAACAACTGCGTCGACGGCGACAATGCCACCGTTCTCTGGGCCGGTATCCCCCCCACACACCCTTTTCTTCTAGCTCTGTGCTCTCTCTCTCTCTCTCTCTGTAATTGGTTGTTGGGTCTTTCTCTCTCTTTCTTGTAGCTCTGGGCAGGTATCCCCCCACACACCCATTTCCTGTATCACTGTGTTCTGTCTGTCTGTCTGTCTGTCTCTCTCCTCTCTCTTTCTCTGTGTGTAATCAGTTGGTGGGTCTTTCTCTCTCTCGTTGCAGGAGTTCTGAGCGCGATAGGGCTGGAGGTGCCGCCATTGGAGGAGACGGCGCATGGTTTCTCGCTCTACTTCATGGTGCCTGGGGAGTACACTCTCCTTGGAGCTGCGGTAATAGAAGAGGCCACGGACATGCTTCGAACCCGAGCCAGGACCGAATCCCCCGAGGAGCCCATCTTCTGCCGCGGCTCCCCCTTCCATCTGCATGTCACAGCCGCCGTATGACCCCTCTCTCTCTCTCACGCTGTCTCTCTCTCTCTCTCTCTCTCTCGATATCTCGTTGTGCGTTATGGTCCCAGTGAGGGGGTCTTGAGAGAGCGAAGAGGGTAACGAGTCTGGCTGGTGTAAGTAGCTGTGTATAATCAGCGTTTGCGGTCTGACTCGGCCGATTCGATTCGAGGGACCTGATTCTTGGCTGGGCTCTGGACCTGACTCAGGTTCGCTCCCCATTTAAATGGTCTTATTGGGTGTTTTTCTCTGGTATCCACATCTCTCTCTCTGTGAAGTGGGCCGTAGTGGCCCAGTTTAAAACTTTGGGCCTGTTGTGTGAGGCCCATATTTGCGGCTCATCACAGGGACCTCCTTGTATTGCCCAGAGTCGTGATAAAAAAGGCGACGTGTTCGCCGTTCTTTTGTGGCACGTGACGGGCGGATCCGACGGCCTTTGTCAACTTGTTCCTTGTCCCACGCTGACGCGGACTTGAGACCACCACGGTCAACCCGTGTGGTTATCCATGGATTGACCCTCCGACCCAGTTGCGTTCGCGCCGAAGTCAGAATAAGTGACTTATCAGCCCCCCGGGGCCCCACCGGACAAGAATTTCGGACTCTCGGTGGGGTCCACTGATGCCCTACATAAATATGAAGCCGCCTGGTCTAGTCGTTTGCTAATTTCGCGGAGAAAATAAGTCACGAAATTTAATACAGCCATTTAACTACAACTAATTAAATAACGTAAAATCATTAAAATAGGCATTGCAATCAATAAAAAATATAAAATCATAATATTATAACCTGAGATATTTAATATACATTTTCCGATTTATATAGACAATAGACCAGTCAAACACGGTATGAAAAATTCCATAACCATTCAAGCTGACCATACAATATATATTGTTTTATTATTAGTTTAAATTGGGGATTTAGGTGGGCCTAATAGGCCCCTAGTCAAAACTTTCCGGCTGTGGGGCCCAAAGTAATAGGGGGTCAGAATTGGGCTGAGCTGGGCTTGATTTTGGAGCCCAATTTATGATTAATGTCGGCATCCCACATTATTATTTTGTTTTATTTAATTAAACATGTATATAATTTAATATTTTTTTGGAGTACCCCCAAAGGAGTTCTCACAATTAAATTAATTTTTATTCCCTGTGAGGATGCTGCAATATAACGTAAATAATTATTATTATTTACTTTCAAAGGAGAACAAAGAAACTTACTATATTTGTCTTTGATGAGAAGCCCACAAAAATTCGAAAAATATTTCCGATGCTGTGCCTAAAAGGTACCACGTGTCTTACCTTTTCTTCACCCTCTCTCTATCTCTAAAATAAGCATTGGAGATATCTATTTGATTATTAATATTTTAATAAATTATTATTTTTTAAAACCCATTTACCCCTGGATTTTGAAACATTTGTCTTATTAGAAAAATATAAAATATTTTTTAAAATTAAACAAAATGCCGTCTTGCATGAAAATAGCTGGCGGCCTCAATCATAAGCGAACATTCCCAACCCGTCCAAGCGGTCCAGGGTATTATTGGAAATAAATATTTTTGGCCTAATGTGGGTCCCACAACCCCTCGCCGATTTTCACGTCTCCCGTGGCCAGACGGTCAAGAAGGGCACTCAAAGGGCAAAATGGGTAGTTGCTTGCACGAGAAAAAGGATGACGTCACATTCTCTCTCTCCTCTCTCTCTCTATCTATCTCTATCTTTATCTCTATCTTCATGTTATCTCTCTCTATCTCTTCATTATTATGTAAAGCGAATAAAAACAAAAGTGACGAAGAATGGGGCTGTATGATTTCCCCGGGGGGCTGTAAGCGCTGTAGCGCTGAGCCAAAGGTCTCTGTAGTGGTCCCATTCTCTGCGTCTTATCTTCTGACACGTGTATCTGCGACGTAGACCCCCGGCCCACCGCGATAATGGTACAGAGGGGACCACGGCATGGATGGCGTGATCGGCCCGGCGGCGCCGGGACAGCGGAGGCTTGTGGGCCCCACTCACAGTCCAGTGTCCCGCGGGACCTGACGGTGATGGGCTTTAGCATGCGGTGGGTGGTCCTGGACCTCTCTCTGCTCGCCACGTGGACGTATCCACCTGTTCCCGCCCAGTTCTTCTCCGCTTCTCCTTTTTACTGCTAGGTCGATGCGCGGGCCAACAGAACGGACCCGGAAGAATCAACCTCTTGGGGGACATAAAAGTAAATAAATGCTTAAATCCAGGTATTTTACAAGTAATGCTTGACTCAGGAGATTTTCTCTAATTTAACATCCCCGCCCTCGGAGGTGCAGGGCATAAAAGGAAAAAAGAAAGAATCCTCCGCCCCTCTTAAAATAGGACGGCAGCCGGAGGGTTTTATATTTAATTCTCCCTAAAATAGGAAATATCGGGGGGAGAGAGAAGAAGAAGAAGAAAGAAGAGGCCGGCGACTTGCAGAGGAAGCATTAAACTCTCCGCAGCCTTTAAACAGGACGGCAATTAAAGCCGGCGGCGGGAATCACAGAGGCGGCAGAGCGGCCGTGGGCAGCAGCCGCCGTACCGGCGGAGGGCTGCGAGCTCACAGAGAGACCAGGCAGCGGCTGCAGAGAGGGTTTCCTCAGCCCCCGAGGTTCGGTTTGTCCTCTCTCTCTCTCTGTGTCTGTCTGTCTGTCTCTCTCTCTCTCTTCCTTCCGGGAGTTTACTTCTATCCATCCTCTCTGGCCTTCGTCGTGTAGATGCTGCAGATTAAATCAGGTTAAACAGTGGGCCTTCGTCGTCGTCGGAGATGAGGACGGAGGAGTAACGAGAACGGGAGGTGGAATCTTTCTCTCGGTGTCGTCGAGTTTCTCTGTCACTCCGCCCCACCACACCCCTGGCCTCTCTCTCTCTCTTTCTCTTCGTGTCTCTATTCTCTCTCGTCGTCGTAGGGTAGATTTATCGGATTAAATTAGGTGGAAGAACTGTATTAGCTCGGAGTCGGAGGGTGGATTTTAGGGAGTAGAGAGGAAGAAGAAGCAGAAGAAGAGAAGTGGTACTCTCTCTCTTTCTCTCTCTATCTCTTCGTGCGTCTATTCTATCTGGTCGTCGTCGGGTAGATTTATGGGATTAAGTTAGGTGGAAGAACTGTGTTTGCTCGGAGTCGGAAGGTGGATTTTAGGGAGTAGAGAGGAAGAAGAAGAAGCAGAAGAAGAGGAGAGGTGGTACTCTCTCTCTCTCTCTCTCTCTCTCTTCGTGTCTTTATTCTATCTAGTCGTCGTCGGGTAGATTTATCGGATTAACTCAGGTGGAAGAACTGTGTTAGCTCGGAGTTGAAAGGTGGATTCTAGGGAGGAGTAGAGAGGAAGAAGAAGAAGCAGAAGAAGAGGAGGGTGGTACTTTCTCTCTCGATCTCTCTCTCCCTGGTATGTATTGATTTCCTCTCTCTCTCTCTCTCTCTCTCTCTCTCTAGAGGTGTCTGGGACCTGGATGAGGGGAGGAAGGTGAAGAAGGGGGGCCGATGGCGTTCCACAACCACCTGTCACACGAGATGGCGATGACGCATTTCGCGGGACAGCATCTCGGAGAGAACCAGGCGGTGATGAGGAGCATCTTGCCAGATCAGCTGGGGCAGCCGTCCTCCTCCTCCGCAGGGCCTGATGCGGAGAAGGAGGTCAAGGATATCCAGAGGCTGATGATCGACAGCGCCGCCGCGGGAAAGCCGCCGATGCAGCCGCACGGGGGCGGTGGCGGGGGCGGCGGCGGCGGGCCAACGTGGCTGAACAGCGCGATCCTCCGGCAGCAGAACCAGCACCACTACGTTGACGGGAGCTTCCTCCATCTCCAGACCGCCTCCGACGCCACCGTGTCGCCGGTGGGTAGGGCGGGTGGCGGCGCCACCCAGTGGCTATCGCGCCAGCCGATGCTCCGACAGAACGCTGGCGACGACGACGACGTCCCCGTCTCCAGTGAGTCCATGATGGTGGCGGCGATGTCCCACGGCTCCGGGAACCTCAACAACGGCAGCGGCGCTGCCGGAGGAGGTGGAGTCGCCGGCCAAAACCCCGGCGTGAGCGGCGAGATTGGAGGGAGTGAGGGAGAGGTCGACGGCAGCCGAGGAACCGGTTGCGGAGGTTCTGGGGGAGGCGGCGGGGAAGCTGGTGCAGGAGAAGGGACGTGGCAGAATGCGAGGTACAAGTCGGAGATTCTTTCTCATCCGCTGTACGAGCAGCTGCTGTCCGCTCATGTGGCTTGTCTCCGGATCGCCACTCCGGTCGACCAGCTCCCGAGGATCGACGCCCAGCTGGCCCAGTCTCAGCATGTCGTCTCCAAGTACTCTGTGCTCGGCGGCCCCGGCAACCAGATGCTCGCTGGCGAAAATAAGGAGCTGGATCAGTTCATGGTTACTCTCCCTCCCTCCCTCCCTCTCTCTCTCTCTCTCTCTCTCTCTCTCTCTCTCTCTCTCTCTCTCTCTCTCTCTCTCTCTTTCTCACACACACACACACTCACTCACTCACTAGACATATATATATATATATATATATCCTGTCGATTGATATACTTATCATTCTGTGCTTCATTTATTTCCTGGCTGCTGCGTCTGATTTCCGCCTCCCATGATCTTCATTTTCTTTCTTGAAGTCGGTTCTTTAGATTTCCTTCAATTTTTCCACTGCCTCCGCAGTGCAGCCGCAATTTTTCCTTCAGAGTGTTCCTTAGATGCGGAGCTCTCTAATGGAGGGAGAACTGAATGCCCTGTGAGAGCAATTCTGGGAACCCAGATCCGAAACCCCCTGCGGTGTTCTAGAGCGAGAAACTGCTGTCTGACCCACATTCATCTTGATGTTCTTGCTCGATCATATCAACCTACCCCGCCTTGCCCTCTGCCCTTTTGGCAGAAACTGATGCAGGCATCCCAAACGATCGACATGCTAGATTTCATGACATGTTTTTGCTCTGGGGATGGGATTCTCGTCGGCCCTTGATGGTTTCTTCTTCATCTCTCTACTGACTTACTCAGAATGTGGAATGCCTAGAAGAATATCTTGAATGAGGAATGCCTCACAGCCCATCTCCGCCCTCCGTTTTATTTTTTATTTTTAAAGTGTGGAAATGAGAAATTCAGCTTAAAACATGAAACTTAGGGTTCTATCTTGAAGCCCGTTTTCTAGGCGAGGGTATTCCCTTGTTTGGATGAAACAGAACAGAGGACGGTGGATATCTGTCTCTAATGGCAGTTTATGTGCTTCATTTCTGTAAATTTCGAGTCTTTTTTCTTCTTTATTTTCTCTCGGATTGATAGTTTGGAGAAGGTGGCTGGAGCCGATGAAGAAAGATTGTAATTTTGATCTCTGACTGGGTCCGATTGCTCATTCAGACCCACTACGTTCTGCTGCTGTGTTCATTCAAGGAGCAACTGCAACAGCACGTGCGAGTTCACGCCATGGAAGCAGTGATGGCTTGCTGGGAGCTCGAGCAGTCCCTTCAGAGCCTCACAGGTCTCTCTCTCTCTCTCTTCATGTGCTTGTGGCAGGATTGTGAGAGAATCTGAATGCTCTCTCTCTCTCTCTCTCTCTCTCTCTCTCTCTCTCTCTCTTTCTCTCTATTCATGTGGCGTCAGGTGTCTCGGCCAGTGAGGGAACGGGGGCGACCATGTCGGACGAGGACGACGACCAGGCGGACAGCGAGGCGAACCTGTACGAGGGCAACTTCGACGGGCCCGACAACATGGGCTTCGGTCCCCTCGTGCCCACCGAGAGCGAGCGCACTCTCATGGAGCGCGTGCGCCAGGAGCTCAAGCACGAGCTGAAGCAGGTTAGAGCGAGAAACTAGAGAGGGACGTAAAAAGTCAAAGACCTACCCCAGCTTTCAGGAGATAATTACCAGCTGAAAATCGTGGCCCTCCTTTCTTTGCCTTGTTTTTTCTTTCCTTTTTAGGGTTACAAGGAGAAGATTGTGGACATACGGGAGGAGATCCTGCGGAAGAGGAGGGCCGGGAAGCTCCCTGGGGACACCACCTCCGTCCTCAAGGCCTGGTGGCAGTCCCACTCCAAGTGGCCATACCCCACCGTGAGTCAGCCCCCCTCCCCCCCCGTTGACTTTTCTCCCAAGATTTAGTGAGAGAAACTTAATTCTCTCTCTCTCTCTCTCTCTCTTTTTCTCTCTCTCTCTCTTCCTCAGGAGGACGATAAGGCACGGCTGGTGCAGGAGACGGGGCTGCATCTGAAGCAGATCAACAACTGGTTCATCAACCAGAGGAAGCGCAACTGGCACAGCAACCCCTCGTCGTCCACCTCCCTCAAGAGCAAGCGCAAGAGGTGGGTTCTTCTTCTTCTTCTTCTAGGGTTCCTTCTCCTTCTTCTTCTTCTTCCATGGTTTTCCTCTTACCTGATGGTTTTTCTTTTCTTCTTTTATCTATGAACAATTCACCAGCAATGCAGGTGACAACGGTGGCGAACGGTTCATGTAAGCTGATCGCCGCCCTACCCACCTCGGCCGGAAGGTAATTGATATGAGAGAGAGAGAGAGAGAGAGAGAGAGAGAGAGAGAGAGAGAGAGAGAGAGAGAAGAGAGAGACCACAGTTGGTGCTGCAAGTGGTTGATTTGCACTGTGAGAGTGCCGGGGGGGGGGGGCTCCCCACCCATATTCGCACGTGTAAGATGGACACGTGTGGGCCCGCGCGCCCAAGTCGCGCGTGCGGAACGCCGCCTGCCACGTGTCGCGAACGTGGTTGTAGAGTCGGTTGCCAGCGATTGATTGCCTGCCCCGACGGCGCCGCCGAGACGACGGATTTATATACAGCTCGATGTTGTGAGGCGTGTTTATGTCTATTTCCTGTCTTAATCCCAAGGGTCGTGCCACGTCTCCCGCCAACAGATTTTACTAATTATAGAAAGGGGAATGACGTGTTTCTCCATCGGGATCGGCCCGTTGTGTGAGTGAGTGAACCAAGACGCCGAGTCTCAAATCGGTCAAAAACTGGATGACGTAATTATTTCATTTTTAAATTTTAATAACATGAATAATAATAATAATAATCCCCCCCCCAGTAACTGTGGTCATTCAGCCGACTCGATTGGGGGTTCTTCCTGAGGGGCTAAAATGCCACCACGTGGCATTTTAACATTATTTTATTCCAAAAAGCAAAAAATTGCGGTGCTCTTGCGTGTTCTTGACGGATTCTATCATAATATCTGTCCTCTCGCACCGATGATATACATAATCTGCGGGTGGGGTCTCTAGATTTTTATTTTTTATTTTTTATTTTTCCCTGTTCCTCACTTAAAATGCCGCTTCTCGGAGGCGTCGGAAGCTTCTCCATGGCGAGAGACGGTGATATTTCCGCCATTAATTACACGTTTGAGCCTGCTGAGTTGGTGAGAGTGGCTCCAGGCGGGAGGCAGCTTCCGGTTTCCTTCCCATGGAGATCACGCGGCTGCGGTTTGACTCAACTCTCACGTGATTCCGATGAACAGATAGATCTTCGAGCCATCACGAGATTCTGATTCTTTGATTGCGGCAGTCCGAGAGGTCGAGATCGAGAGCGGAGAGGAGAGAGAGAAATGGCGACGCGGGGGTTGTTGAGGAGATCGGATCGGGAAATGACTGGTGAGAAAATTTCCGTGGCATTCAATTGCTAGAAAATCAATGAATCTCGCTGAAATGGACGGCTCACTATTCACAGAGACAAGCAGATGAATCGAATCATGAAAGGGGGGGAAAAAGAATCGGAGTATTGAGGCCGTAGCGGCGGATGAGGAGCTAGTTGCAGGCTATTCCCTTCGCGGCCGCGGACTCCGCCGGGATCAGATGCGGTGGCGTCGGGGGAAGACGGGACGAGAAATTCCGGTACCGGAACTCGGCGGGGGAGATCTCGCCGCCGTCGTCGTCGAAGTCGGGGCCCTCGTCGAAGTTGAGGGCGTAGCTGAGTGGATCGTACCTGAAGTCGCCGGACTGCCGGCGTGGCTTCCCCAAGCGCGAGATGAGGCCGCGGCATTTATCCTTGATCTCCGGGATCTCCTGCGCCTTGGATCGGATCCACGTCGAGGAAGACCGGACGAACGACGCCGTCTGGCTATCCTGCGGCGGCTCAAATCCTTCTCCCCCTGCGCCGCCGCTGCCGCCGCCGAAGCAGCAGGAGAAGCACTCCCCCAGTCGAGATCTTCTCTTCGGGGAACCTTGATCTCCATGATCGTACGCCATGAGAGCTTCTCTCCTTCTCTCTTGTTCCTTGTATCAGCTAGGGTTTTGCGATACCAGAGGATTCGCGAGGGATTGTTGAAATGGCGGCGATCTACTCGTATATATGCGATGGGGGTGGGGGGGGAGGATAAGGCCGACGATAACCAAGGGGCAGGGGATACCCCTAAACTGAATTGCGCGTGAAACAGCTGGCTCAGGGTATTCTCGTCATTTCTATGGCTAACTAGGATCATGGAATCTTCACGTAAGCGAGTCACGCTGACGCGACGCGCGAGAGGATGACTTGGCAACGCAATCTCTCTCCGTCTCTCTCTCTCTCGCTCCTCCTTGGGAATTACGCTTCTAGGCATTCATATCCGCGTTAAGTTTGCGTCTGACCTGTGTGTGTGAGAGAGAGAGAGAAGAGAGATTTGAGGGAGACTTTGGAGAGTTCTTAGGGGATGGATATTCTACTCATTAAAATTATTGCTACCTTCTTCCTTATCCATGATTGATGGAACTTTAATGAAAGCGATTGAACCCACCAAAGTTCGAACTATGTTTTATATTATATGGGCTGTCTATGCGCCTCAAGAGTGAGGTATGCTTGTTTTAGGCAGGCTACAAGAACTAGGAGAATGGCTGGTGGGAGGGGTTAATTGGTCTTTTCCAAATCACTCTTGGGTTTTTCTATCTTTTATTCAAATTATTCAATCCAGATGTATAGTGGTTCCACTCACTTGAGATAGTTGACTCCTTTTTAATGACCACATTCTTGCGAATATGTATTTCATGTTTGATCAAAGGAATCATACACATAAACTAAAAATTTCTTTTTCAAAAATGAAATAATTACCCTTTGTAAGATCAAAATTTTATGATTTTCAAGATGTTATTGAAAAATAATGCTTATTCACAGAAGAACAAGTTTCTTTCAATTCTCATGCACTTTATTATTAGAAAACATGTTACCTCCACAAATCCTATTCAAATTTTATTTTTAATATTTCTTGGGCACTAATATTTTAGCTTAATATTAGGTGGATGTCTTATTTCATGACTATTTCAGAGATTAAATTTAGTTGCATTATCTACATTTGAAGTTGAATATATATCAGTTGTAAGTTGTTGTGCTCTAATATTCTGTAAAATCTCAATTAAAAGATTGTGTATTAAATTAGATAGAATTCTGATTTATGTGACAGTACTAGTGCTATCAACTTAGCTCATAATCATATTATTCATTATATGATCAAACATTTAGAAGTGAATCATCATTTTATTAGATATCAGATTAATAAGAATGATATTAAATTATATTTTGTTGACACAATAAATTAATTAGTTGATGTATCTACCAAACCAACCTCAAAAGAAAAAAGTAAAAAATATTTCTAGACATTTAAGAATGAGTTCACTTGATGCAATATGCTTAGTATTTTGACGTGCACTCAATATTACATTATTGATAGTTTTTACCTAAATATTTGATGGTTGGTGATAAATTATCTAACTTTGAACTTACTGTGTTAGTTTTTTACTTTTTCATCCTAGTTTAGATCAATGCTCATGCCATCATAGTCAAGAGAGGGGAAATAAAATAGATTTTGAAAACTAAATCATAAAAAATTATTTTAAATTTAAGGTGACTACACATGGATTCTTTCTATATTTAGATGCAAATTGTTTTAAATTTAGGGTGACTACACATTTTCTAGAAGAATAGATATCCTTTTGATGTTACAAAGGGAGTGAAAAATGGAATAAGAAAATTGATAACTTGAGGAGTCATGACATTAGGGGAAGAAATGATCAAATACCCAAAGAAGAAAGTAAATCAATTTCAAAATATTGTAATCATAGAAAAGGGAGAGATTGTTGAGTTATGGATTAACTCAAGAACATAAAATATGATTTTGATGATGTTTATATATTAATTTAATTATCTTAAAACTAAAGATATTTGATGCATAAAATATATTGAAAACTTTAGTTTATTTGAATAATGATATAAGGTGTGAATATAAAGATAATAAAATATATGTACAATAAATATGTTATTTTCTTATGAGTAAATCTTAATGTTTGAATTTTCTATATCAAATGACTTGAATAATATCAGTATATGAATAATCAATACGAAGGTCTTTGAATCAGTAATCAAGTGAATAAAATCTTAGAGACAATTATTAAAGTATTGATTTTTAGTTATTTTTTAAAGATGATTAATTTAAGATATTCTTGTAGTGACAAATTCATTTAAAACTATGACCTTTGATACTAAAATAATTTTTGTCTCAGAAAATATATGACATATAAGAGTGGGATAGTCATTGGAAAGCTGATTCAAAGATCAATCCATAACTATAAATTGTTATGAAAAAAGTCTAAATATGAAAAAAGTGAGTTGCAAACTTTTCATTATTTATGTTCACTTTTTATATACTTGTTAGGATCCACGAACAACCAATTAAGTCTTATTTTAAGTCAATTGTTTGACCTGACAAAGGGCAAAAGGTGCCAGCCCACACTCCTATAAATATGATATTTCGGTTAGATTAAAGATAAGGAGAAAATATTAGATTTTCAAGAGACAATTGCTACTTCAACTACATCTCTTCTTCTCCATGGACCTATGTTTAATTCTCCAAGGTTCAAGGGCAAGATAGATTAATTCAATAGAATTTTGGACACCTCTCTAATGAATCAAAAGTATCCTTCTTCAAACCAACATCATTCAATCTACTTCAACACCTTCAATCATTTTTGACGAATAAAAAATAACTTTTAAAATTTACAATGAGCTCGTTCCTTATTATTATTATTATTTTCATAATTTATTGTGATGTGTGAATTAATTAAGACACATGGTGTGTCGTCAATATAGTCACATAGATCGTTAAGGCATCAGAAGTGTGCATATAATGAGAGTAACTATATATACTTAGTGATTTTTGGGTTAGAGTTCTAAGCTAAATGGTTATCAGTTTGTGGAGGTTGATTGTGAAAAAGGTTCTTAATTCATTTAAAATTAATGAAATAGGTTGTGGAAATTAGATGTAGCTGAAATGAAGTTTGATTGAACCACTATAAAAATATGATATATTATTAATATTTAATTAAATAAAAATAGAGATAAATAAATTCTCCCCTCTTGATTTATTATCATGTAAGGACCATGAAAAATATAGAAAAAATGACCCTAAATAACAAAAAAATTACAACTCTTGATAATTGTAATTTTTTGAAACGGTTTACAGCTCAGTGAATATGTTAAACTACTAATATTAGAAAATTAATAAAAATCAGCGTCTTCATAAATTTCTGTAGATTTATTTCACTTAATTCCTCATTAAAAGATATTGCTAATAATTTGATATTTTGTAAATTTCTAAATATTTTCCCACTTAAGTTTCCAACATGTCATCGTTTAGATTTCATGTTCTTATAGATGACTTTAATATTTTGTAATTTTTTAAATACTTTTATAATAAATGATGAAATCCATATATTTCAGAAGATCATACATATATTACAGAAAATCACATAAAATGAGATGAAATGAGGTCGAAAATACTTTTATAATAACCAATAACCGACAATAATTTTATTATCGTTGGATGACGTCATATTTCAAATCCACATGGCAGAGTCTGCCGAAACCCTAGATCTGCTTCTTCGTCTTCTTCAAGAAAAACCCCCCCGAAACCCTAGAATCCTCTGATGCGCTCCCTCGCCTCCTCTTCTTCATTCAAGCTCTGCTGCTCCTCCTCCTCCTCCCTCCTGATCCGCCATCTCTCCCGTTCCCCTCCGTCCCATTCCGGCTCCTCTGCTCCATCCCATTCCGGCCGCCGGGCGCCCGCCGGACCCCCAATCGCGATCGCCGCCGGCGACCACCCTCAGAGCCCCTTCGATCCCCAAGCAGTCCTCGAGACCATCTCCTGCTACGCCAACGACTGGTCCCGCGCCATCGAGTTCTTCCGCTGGGTCGAGGATCGCGGATTCCGCCACAATGTCGAGACCTACAATCGCGTCATCGATGTCCTCGGCAAGTTCTTCGAGTTCGATCTGGCGTGGGAGATCGTCTGCAAGATGCGGTCCGATCCGGCGGCCTTCCCCGGCCATTCCACCTTCCGCGTCCTCTTCAAGCGCTACGCCGCCGCCCACCTCGTCCAGGAAGCCGTCGCTGCCTTCGATCGAGCAGCCGAATTCGGCCTCCGCGACCAGATCTGCTTCCACCACCTTGTCGACGCCCTCTGCGAGTACCGGCACGTCATCGATGTGGAAGATCTGTTCCTGAAGAAGAAGGATCCGCCATTTCCGCTCGATTCCAAGGTCTATAACATGGTCCTCCGCGGCTGGTACAAGATGGGATGGTGGAAGAAGTGCAGAGAGTTCTGGGACGAGATGGACCAGAAGGGGATCCGAAAGGACCTCCACTCCTACTCCATCTACATGGACATCCTCTGCAAGTCCGGCAAGCCATGGCGGGCCGTCAAGCTGTACAAGGAGATGAAGAGGAAGGGGATCCCCCTCGACGTGGTAGCCTACAACACGGCGGTGCAGGCGGTCGGGCAGTCCAATGGAGTTGATGAATCGATCAGGCTCTACAGGGAGATGCTGGAGGTGGGTTGCCGGCCGAACATCGTCACCCACAACATCATCATCAAGCTCCTGTGCCAATCGGGGAGGATCAGGGAGGCCTTCTCCTTCCTCCACCGGATGCGGAAGCTGGGATTCGAGCCCAATGTGATCTCCTACCACTGCTTCTTCCAGTGCATGAGCAGGCCCAGAGAGATCCTCGAGCTCTTCGACAGGATGCTGGGGAGCGGCTGCCGGCCGGCCATGGACACCTACGTGATGCTGATGAGGAAGTTCGGGCGGTGGGGCTTCCTCAGGCCCGTGTTCGTCGTCTGGAGGACGATGGAGGAGCAGGGCTGCTCGCCTGATGGGTTCGCCTACGACGCCATGATCGATGCCCTGTTGCAGAAGGGGATGGTGGAGCTCGCGCGGAAGTACGACCAGGAGATGCTGGACAAGGGGCTCTCGGCGAAGCCCAGGAAGGAGTTCGGGCCGAGGTTCGGCGGGGAGGAAGCTGAGGATCATCCACTCGGCGGCGCTGCCGCTCTCTGAGGATCATCTTCTCTGAGACGAAGCAGTGTTCTTGGCCGTGATCTCCGGAGCTTGGAATCATAACCACGCTGATTCTCTGTACTCTGTACGCTGATTCTTTTTTCTTCTCTCTCTCTCTCTCTCTCACTCACTCTAGAGGCCACCCATCAACCCAAATGAGCAGCTAAGACACAAATGTAGAGAGAGAGAGAGAGAGAGAGAGAGAGAGAGAGAGAGAGAGAGAGTATAGCGGATTAAGGGCAGAACCAAATAAAGGAAAGATCAAGGTCGTACCTTCCGGCGCTTAGGCTCCGGCTCCTCAGGCAGCTTGGAGCGGCGTGGGGAGGAGCTTGGATCCTGCATGCATGATCGGATGTGATTATAGCGTCAAAGAAAGAATTTTCTCCCCCATACTAAAGCCATGACACAATCAAGGGGAAGTTTTCTGTCACTTACTCGCCCTGAAGACGAGCTACCCCTGCCTCTGATGCATTCTCAGATATAAATGGCATGAGTTGACGAACTAAGCTGGAGAAGAACAGCCCATCGCCGCCCACTCCCCCCTGGGCTTCTTCCCCAAACGGAGTAACAGGATCTTGGGCGGCGCTGCCCTGTTCTCCCTCGGGAGCTTGTTCGCCATTAATGGGCGAGGTCACCTGTCCACTAGGAGGCGTGGAGGCTGCAGAGGGCCCTGGAGAGCAAGGGGTTGGAATGGAGGAGAGCATTAGGTCTGAGGATATGAAAATATTTCTATGTAGATCCCAGATACAGATGATAGAGAGAGAAGCTTCCATCCTCCCACAGAGAAGACCCGCACAGGACTGCTGTCTGATTTTGACTCAGGATAGGACACGAACTAAAGTCAAAAGCCATAAAAAAGTCTACCCTAGAGAGTCTCAGGTCATTAAGCACACCCACTAGTCAATTTCTTTGAAAGTCTTAACCCCTCCGCATTAGAATGAGGAGTCAGCCTCAGAAAGATAAGCTGCAGCATATTAGGCTAAGCACCGGCAGCTACAAAATCGTAGGCTGGAAAAGCCCAGAGTGTTGCGGAGGTCAATTCTTCACTAAAGTCAAACCCCCTAAAAATCAGAAAATCGAGGTCCACGACCAGCATTGTACTGGCAAGACAGAAAACCATGTGACGGACAGTACACGAATAGTAAAAGATCCAACGGAAATCAGACAACTGTTCTATGAACACTTCTTAACTGGATAAATGCAACTCTTCAAATAAAGTGGGTAAGAATATTTAATGAGGTTGCAACACAGAAACCAATAAACTTTGAATGGCCATTAATGTACTCAGAAGAATCTCATACTCCTGCCAAGCCAGCCACTTAATTTTTTGTCTCATCGTTTTTCACAATGATGATCATTTCCCACTATGCGCAGTTTGATCAATAATAAATTCAGGCGTTTAGTCTAAGTTTGGGACTTGGTTGGCTTGCTACCATTCTGCCGAAATCAACCAGTATAAATGGTATAAACCTACAAGCTACAAGGGTGAAAGGGCAACCCTTATTACCTCTGGTGATAGAATCCGGAGTTTGCGGCTGAGCTGTTGGTCTAAGGGACACCTGAGAAATCCTTGCGTCATCCAAGGTTCCTGGGATTCTTTGATGAAACCCTGCATAAAGAGGATAGAGCAATCCCACCGCACCGCCAGAAGAATCTGGTGGTGGAGGACGGGAGACTCCAGCGGGTACAGCAACCACAGTTCTCAGAGGCACCACTCTTGGCCCGGACTCTTGGGGAATAGATGCATTGGACAAAAGCCCTTGGAACACTTGGTGAGCTAAATTTTCTGCAGATGTCCTTGGCGGATCTGCTGTTCCGGATGGTTGCTCTTCGGTGGGTTGCCCGCTCACATTTTCTGCGGCTACAGGTACCGAAGGCCCTGACGATCATCAAACGAGGATAGTATACTGACATATATTAGACCCTTATCAAGAAAAAAATCTTGATCACACACGAAATACGCAGCAAAATTCATCAATTAATAATGAAAATTAGTTGATGAAGTAGCCATTCTAGTTGTATGAAAATCTGAAGTTTGTCTTTCAAAAACGAACAGAAATATTCCAATCTGAAGCTGAAAGAACACATTAAAGTATGAAATGTCAAACAAGTCAGCATTAAGCAGGAAACATGATGGGATGGACATTTGTCGCCACTTGGTCTTGCAGAAAGATTCAAGCAGCCAACTTCCAATTAGTAAATTCTCTAAGTGTCAATGGCAGGGTAATATCAAATCAATTCAATCAAGAGCAGAAGCGCAGAAGATTAAACTAGGTGGATGCCATGGATATGAAAAGAGGTTCATATGCATCAGAACTGAGTGATCAGACTGGGATCTAGTATAATTTCCGGTGCATTAAGAAAAGAAAGCCAATTAAACTTTTAGAAATTTAGGACTGATGGGAATTTTATCTTATTAAACTTGAAAAATCATTTGTAAAATTTGAAATTATTTATGCTATCTTGCTTCTCCTTAAGTCTGGCTGGTCAAAGGGAAGGACAAGTGAAAGGGGGAGAGAAGAAGTGTAAAAAGAAGAAACTATAAAGAAAAGGACGCATACAAGTAGAAGAAAAGAATGCTACACATAGAGAAGAGCTGCAGCGAACGATATTGGTGCTTTAGCTGCTGCTGTCACCAATTTTAGCAACAAGGAGTCGAATCATAGTTCTTCACTTTCTTCGCCTTTTTCCTTTACATTTTTTCTCCTTTTTTCCCTTTGATTTCTCAGTTTTTTCAACTAATTGGTCTCTTCTCATTCGACACACTTTTTACTTTTCAATTTAGTTCCGCAGGATATTCTTATAGACTACTCCCTACATCAATTTTCAAGCTGGCAGTATAATTATTCGATGATCGGGTCAGGTATCATCCGTTTTTCTATCAATTCAGTATACACATGATTCAGAAGAAAAAGAAAACATCTCTTTTTTGTAGTGTAATCAACTAACCTCTTCCTCCAGATGCTAAACAACTTGCCTCTGCCTTTGAGGCATAGGTAACCACGCAAAAGGAAAAATTTGTATCCCATTACTTTCTTGGGAGCTTTAGGTCACCTATGATCTCTGTCATCTACGAGGTAAAACTGTATTCGTGTGCCTTACCATAGCAAGTCTGTTGAATGCGATCTTCCCCAATGACCATCACGAGGAGATGATACCATCATCACTCTCATTGAACCCAAGTATAAATTGTCTACTCTATCAAAACCACCAAAAGTCATCTTTAGCCATGTCCAATGTACAGACAACACCCGGCATGATGGCAAACAGGAGTGATCTCAGAACTGACACTCCCCTGATTAATGGCGGCACTGAGGTACGCAATCTTGTTGGTGTTTTCCACCATTGAAAACAGCCATCATAACCTTCTTCAAAGGGTACCTCCTTGAGATGTAACCCGACGTGCTACTTAAATGACAGATGACTGAGGCATCACAAAGAACCACCGAATGCTTGGACCAATGATCGAAGAAGAAAAGGTCTACCTCTCACCTGTACCCCTATTATGTGCTGTCTCTCCCTCTCTCTCTCTCTCTCTCTCTCTCTCTCTCTCTCTCTCTCTCTCTCTCTCTCCCTTTCTTTGGTAATTTACAAGCCAAATTGTCCCTAACATGGTTATTTTCAAGCATAGTTCTTGAATATAAAACACGAGCCTGTATATATTAACTTATTTTAATTAACTAGGTATGTATTTTAGCATAATACCTCCTCTTCAGGGCCAGGGAAGCCACTTCAAGTAAAATTCTGTCGCCATCCCCTCTCATAAAGAAATGAGACAAGTGGACGCCTGAAGAGGGACCAAATTAAAGACATGAATTGAAGGCAACAAAGAGAAATTTTACTTCTTTCTTGTCAAAGAAAATTTCCATCTGTCTTATGACGAAATCGGCCTTCTGCCTCCCAGAATCATAGTTGCAAGAAGCATTGCCGAATAAAGCTTCATATACTTTTTAAAAAGCGAGTATTTCCTAATTGAATTTAATATTATTACCCCAGTTCATTGATAGTAAGCTTGAGATAAAACACAGATATAAAACAATAGGCAGTCTTCCAAATTTAGAAAGGATTTTTTTACCCCGTAGATGGGTGGGTCTTTTGGGTTCCTGGAGTTCAAAACATTTTTACCTTTTAACCCGATGAAATTCTGTTTTACACATGGGTCTCTAAGTTCCCTGGAACCCGTTGAGGATTCGATTACACATCCAAGGGAGGGTTTCTGTGCATCCTTCTCTCTCTCTCTATCCCCTTTCTTTCTCCACTCATTCTCTACGTCTTCTTGTTTGCGCGAGAAAACTCAAGCCAGGGCAAAGTGCCAGAGCCACCGGGTAGAAAGGAAGGTGGTGGCGACGAAGACGCACCCGCTTCTCAGGACGGGGTTGATCTCGGCGACCTGTGAAGAGGAGGAACTCCAGATAAGAATCATAAGAGTAAGTGGGTCCTCAGGTTCATGTTCATCAGAGTCAACGGGCCATCCAGTTGTCGGTTCGCAATTCCAGTTTTGGTAATTTTCTTGAATAGTTATCCATATGGGGCAGGGTTTTTCCGGAAGCGAGGGATCTAAGGTAGCTGCAATGGTGAGAGGGAGAAGGATTACCGCATTAGAAGGTGAAGGCCAGCAGTGGAGGGCCGCACCAGCATGAACAGCATCGATGGAACCCGATTCAAAAGGGAGCCTTAAGACATCCGCTTTAACAAGAGCGAGGTTCCTGAAAATTACATCCACATGTGGAACCACTAGAAGATTAACTAATAGTAGAGAGACATGCTCTCATGAGCATGAGCGAGAGAGAGAGAGAGAGAGAGAGAGAGAGAATTTCGAGGCTCAAGCCAGAAAATATGGATCAGCATGGGCTCCGGGTTTGACTTACGTAGATAAATTAAATATTAAAGATATAAGAGTTAAATCATTCTCAAAGAAAACCAAATATTGATACACTATTTCAACATTGTCTTAAACCTGATGGCAGTGGACCCAATGATTATTATCTTTTACCATTATTGAAATTTTCTAGGCAGAGGATCCCTCATGAAATCAAAAGGTTGAAATAGTGTATCAATTAAAGTATTGGATCGTCAAAGCTTAAAGTCAATTAGCCAATGGGTGCATTTATATTACCATAGGTCTTGCTTATGGCACTCAATGTAGGATTGTGACAAACTTCTATGCATTTTAAGAGTAAGACGTCCAACTAGAGAATAACTAAAGGTGATATTATAGGGAGCTCCTGATTTACTAGATGAATAATAAGAAAATTCTAAAGAATAGTAGTAGCTACCTCAAAATAAAAAAGGGTGCAAATAAACGAAAGAAGGAGAAAGGTGACACCTTTGGATAAATTGATTTGAGTTCTTGGGCAATTGGGCAAGAACTTACAATTATCCTAGATCTAAGGCATTTGAATTTGATTCTCTCTGATATCTTCCCTCTCTTCCTTTATCTTACTTATTCAAGACATTGTTCTTATTTTTTATATTAAATAGGCCCCAATTTCATTAGGAAGCTGGAGCCTTATCATTTGGTATTAGAGCTATTTCTGGCCATTCCTATATGGTTAAAGGGCTCACTGTTGAGAGGATGAAATCCATTGAGGTGGATATTGAGATGCTCAAAAAGGAGAGCAAAAGGCATAAAATAAATCTGACAACAATTAACTCAACAACTGGCGACATTGATGACACACATAAAAGAAAATCAAGGAGATTGGACACGAATACAACCTGCATTTAAGCCTCTTCAAAATCAAAAGCAAAAGGTGGAAAATTATAAGCCAACTTGTAGATCAGATCTATCAACCTTCAGTGGAGAGGTATTTTTGTAATTCCTCTTTTTAGTAATTGATATTTCTAAAGTTTTTTGACCTATCAAAAATCTGAAAAACAAAATTTTTAGTTTTCCTTGTGACCAAACTCAAAATCTTTCTTGTGACTAATATATTAGTGATCCACTAGAAACCCAGATGGATGGTTACATAGAGCATAGATGTATTTTGGCATAAATCAAACACCAAAATCAGATTATTTAGAATTGATAATGCTTAGCATGGAGGGAGATGCATTGGATTGATATTTATGGATGGAAGATCATTTTAAATTTCAAATTTTTTCTGATTTTAAAATAAATTTTAGTAGTTAATTTGGATCATCAACTTCTAATAGTATATATCATTGACTTTTGAACTTAAAGCATGATGGTTCAGTCTTGGTGTACCTATCAAAATTTAAAAGACTCTCAACTTATCTTCTCAATATACCAATGAAAATATTAGAATATACCTATTTGAATGGACTTTGAGATCCAATCTAGATTATTAAGGTCTAAATTGATTAGTTTAAGAGATATTATGGACACTTTGGTTCAAGCCAAAGCACACTTACATGCTCTACGACAAACTTAGAAGCAAGAACAACCAAAGTAACAAAGGTTTAGTTTGGCCTCTTATAATCCCCAAATAAAGAATCATTGTGGCATCTACTCTTGACAATGATCATATAAATTGATGTAAGATTCATCTTTCATCAATTCTTGTCCTTGGTAAGAAATTGAAATCGACACAAAATGATAAGAAATAAGTAAAAAATAGAGGAAATTACAAAAAAATAAGAATAAAGGACTCTGATTTCACTATAGTGAATAATCTAGGCATGGACATAGATGCAAAGGAGACCTTAATATCCTTATTGTATAGAAGGAAGAGAAAATCCAAGAAGACTTACAAGAAGAAAACTAGGCCCAATAGAGTATTGTCTACAAGAGGAAGTTACTTTGTTCATAATATATGTTTCCTTGAATTCTATCATGGGCTTGACCTGACATAGTACTATGAAAGTAAGAAGAGCATTGTAAGATAAAGATGTTGCAATCCTTATTAACACTAGTGTTATCCATAATTTTTTGTGTCATAAATTGTTGAAAGAATTGTCCTTATGAGTCAACGAATTCTATAACTATGACATAGTAATTGATAATGACCATATTGTACAAGAAAATGAGTTATGTTACAATATTCCATTGAATTTTCAACACTTCTTATCTTTGGATCTCAGCAACATTGATGTTATTCTAGGGATGCAATGGCTAATGACTCTAAGGTGGATACATTCACATTATGGACATTTGATCATGAAGTTCGTGATCAAAATGCCATTCATATTGTCAAAGGAGATACAAGTTTGATCAAAATAAGTATATCCTTAAAGACTACTAAGCATGAATTAAAGAAGGGTCATGTGACTATGATCAAAGGGAATTAAACCAACTTTCAAGAAAAATATATGACTATGATTTATCACAAAAAATCAAAGATTAAAGTCAATTATAGGAAAGATTTCCTTAAGTCTTCGAACCATGTCCAAGGCTTACTCCTAATTGAGAAGTTGATCATTCTATCAATCTTATTATTGGAACTCAACCAATAAATTTACAACTATATTAGTACTCACAAATTCAGAAAAATGAGATAGAAAGACATATCGAAGAACTATGTGCAACATGTATCATTTAGTCTTCTAACAACCCATATGCTAGTCTAATATTAGTAGTTAAGAAAAAAGATAAAAGTTAGTGACTTTACATTGGTTATAGAGCTTTTAACAAGGTCACTGATAAGTTTTCATTATCATGAGTTAATAATTAGTAAATAATATAGTTTTAGCCTTAACTCATGATAAATAGACTTATATTTGTGTTAACGTGTGAAAATGGTTTTCAATTGATTAACGTGATTTTTTGGGTAATTATGTGATTTTATAGGAATTTATATGATTTTTACAATCTTACTTTTGAGATAAATGAAGAAAAAAAATAAAAATAAAAAAAAGATAAAATGGGGGGGACCCGCCGGGGCCGCAAGGGGGTTAGAAGCACAGTCAAGGAGTAGCCGCGAGCAAGGGCTCGAGCGGCTTAGACCGATAGGGGCATGTGTGCACCACCCCCCTTCCATGTCACCAGTGGCCAGCTGGCTGTGGGGCAAGGAGTGGTCGTACACGCGCGAAAAAGGGACTTGATCAGAAATGTAATATTACTATATATTCACTAGAAACTTTGGTACACAATCGATGTCGGACTAAACCTGCGTCACCTTCCCCAGAAAGGGACAGGCAACCGGCGTGGGTTCGAATCCTCCTAGAGCCAAAACTCATATCTTTATCTGATTATCACGACTTTCCTACAGATCGCCGGTGAAGGATTAAGCAACTAAAATCGCTGGATCATCGGCGAAAATCTTGTCAACACGATTCGTAGAGCATTGTTACTAAAATTGCTGAATGATTTGCGATAAAAGGATTGCAAATCTATCAAGTAAATCATCTCCGATTGATCGACGAATAAGCCATCGTCGGGAAGAGGACGATCTGCCGAGAGACGAGTCGCCACCTCCTGAGAGCATATCAGATGCGATGAAGAGCCTCCTCTTGCTGCGTGGACTTGAGGATGAAGCTCCCTAACATATGCCCCACCTCCATCCAGCTCCTCTCCGTCGGGTGACAGCCGCCGGAGACGATTTGACGACCCATTTTATTGATCTCTAGACTTCGTAAGGAGATTTAGAGATTACCTACATCGTCCTTATCCAAGGAGAGCCTTCGAGGCCGTGGACACTACACGACTATCCTCCCGAACACTCAAGATTCCGGTGCATTGCCAATGCATCGCCGCCGCGATGCCGGAACTCTATTTTCCTACTTTCAATTTACTTTACGCTTTATTTAGTGATAATTTGTGTGATTTTAATTTACCAAAATATATTTCATTTAATTACGATTCTTCTAGCTTTTATAGATCTTAATTTGATCAATTAAATTGTCTGTAATTGCTTACGTAAGAATCATCGGGCGGAACTCTATTTCCGTCTGATTCGCGTTCGCCAGGTGCTGATGTCATCTTGACGTCTGCACCCTTATTTCCCTTTTTTGTAATTTTTAAATATATTTGTTTTTTATTTACTAGTATACAATTCATAGAAAATAGTATTCTTTGAGAAAAATTCTGAATAATTATCAGATATTATATTACATCCTTGTGATCGACCTGGAAAATTACCACTATTTTTGGAAGTTTTATTAAATCATACTTGATATATTTGTTCAGAAATACTTCTAAATATCTGAAAATTCATATTTTTTAGTTTTATAAATTTTAAATTTACGTGATTTACTATACAACGACTGAGTCACATCAAATTTTGATGCCGTTCCTGACGATGTATTGTATAATATTTAGTATTTTTCTATTTTTCTCTTAGAGTACACAAAAAAGAAAAAACTCTTGTTTTATTTTCTTCTTGCCAATTTTTTTTTTAGAAAAAGGGAACGAAAAGAAGCAAGGCAAGGATTGAAGTATACTGAAGGAGGGTAACAATTACTAAACTTTTCCTTCGAATTTATTGATTTTTTTATGTATGGTAGAAGATCCTTGTATCCAAGGCTAGAAAATCCTTTCATTATTTCATTCAAAACTAAAAATCCGAAAGAAAAATTAATTTTGATGGATCCTGAAGGAAGTACAGGTCAAACTAAGAGCAATCCTATGGCCATGAAAAATCATTATATCCTTTATTCATTTCAAAAAGCATCTAATATTAGAGACCCATTAGCACCCACTATTAAATTCGAAATAAATTCAGGAATTTTTCAAATGCTCCCTAATTTTCATGGATTGCCTTTAGAGGAACCTCATCAGCACTTAAAAAAATTTCATATGATCTGTGATTTAGTTAATCTCCCTCAAGTTACACTGGAAATTATTAAGATGAAATTATTTCCTCATACACTTAGGGACAAAGCTAGTCATTGGCTATCCACATTAGATAGATAATTAACTAGTTAGAAAAACATAGAATAGGTCTTTCTTCAAAAATTTTATCCCTTAGGAAAAACTCAAAATATGAGAAAACATATATGGAATTTTTCTCAAAGACCAGGAGAAATTTTACATGAGACATGGAAAACATTCAAAGATTTACTTAGAAAGTGTCCTCATCATGCTATACCCAAGTGGCAGCTCAATAGAATTTTTTATGATGGATTATTAGAACAACATAGAAATATGGTTGATTCTATATGTGGAGGAGCTCTTATGGAGAAAATCCCTGATGAGATTTACAATCTTTATGAGAATTTAAGTGAAAATTCTAGAGATCAAGCCTCTTTTGAATTATATGACAGGGATAAGAAGAGAGAAATTTATGAATTGCATCATAATGATGATTCTAAATTTAGAAATGAGGTTAATCAGATTAATCAAAGATTAGAAAAACTTGATTTACTTATTGAGAATATTAGAAAGCCTCATAACCTTCAATTGAATGTATATAATGCTTGTCCTATGTATAGTGAAAATGATTATTTCGAATTTCAATATCATCCTAAGCAAGAATAAGTGTAGGTACCCTATGATTTTAGTAAAAATAGGGAATATTTTTCTAATTCTTATAATCCTAATTAGGGGAATAATTTTTCGTGGAGAAACCTAAATAATATTCAAAATCTAGAAGCACTTAGATCCAATTCAAATTTTAAATTTTGTTCAAAATAAGAACACAAATTTCAGAAAAATCAGCCCTCTCAAATCCAACCTGATGCTATTGAAATGATACAACAAATGAGCCAAATGATGTAACAAACTATGAATCAAATGATGTTGCACCAAAAACAAATTATAGAGGCTTTTGAGAATAGGAGAGAAGAGGGACAACCACCTAGTCAGCCCATAGAAAATTCAGGAAACTGTCCAATAGTAGGATTTCAGCAAGGAGAGTCTAGTTGGATAAATTTAGAAAAAAATCTATAAAATGAAAATTTTAGGACAGTGAATACATTGAGTGAGAATATTTTACCTGATCCTTATTTCCAATTATGAGAAGAAATCGATGAGTCATTAGAAGTAAATGAGAATATTAAGGCTGAAAATATAGTAGTAAAAAATTTAAATAAAATTATTTATTACTCATAATTGATGAATGAATATAGTGAGGACGATGAGGAGAAAGAGCCCTTAGATGAAGAAACAGCAGCTGATCATGGAAGAATAATCCAAATTTTAGTAGAAGGGAGTAAGGACAAAAATAAAGAAAAATATATTTCAGGTGAGGAAAAATCAATTGACTTGGGAGATGTAGGAGACGAAATTAATAAATCTAATCATAATTTTGCAGCCATGGATGTTGATAGTGAGGATGATGATATATATCATATACCGAAATTAAAAGATAGCTCTTGGGGAGATGAAGAATTTGATGAGTTGAGAAATGAAAAGTTAGAAAAAGAGTTGATTCAACTAATGGGGAGAAACGAAAACAATAGATATGAATATAGAGATAATTTTGGAGGAGAAAATTTGAATTTTACTGAATTCATTAGATCTAAGATTAAAGAAGACAATCTTTACATCCTTCAAAATCCACAGCCCATTAGAATTACTTCTAAGCTTGAAATATTTCACTCTTGCAAAGTGAACAAATATGTATGGAAGATAAAATAGAGTAGGGAAAGATTATGCAGATAAAAGAACACATTAAGAAATGGGTGAGTGGAAGAATTAGAGATATTAATTTAGATGAAAAAATTCTAGATTGGGTAAGAGCTAATTTGAAAATTATATGGCCTGATCATATTTTATAGTCTATTAATAGAAAGTATTTATTAATGAATGAGAGCCTTACAAAATAAGATAGAAATGAGGAAAGATTCTTTTCAAAATGGAAATATTATTTTTGGGAAAATTTTGTTAACTTCCATTTTGTTTTGGCTGAAAGTATGTCAAGGTATATATATGAAGTATATGAATTTATGCTAAATCTGAAAAAGAATATCATGAAACTTACCTTGGGATACAAATATATTTTGATGGCCATAGATCATCTTATATGATCTAAGAGCTGTCCAGCTGAAGACATTAAATTCAGCGCTGCATGGGAGGCAACCCATGGTTTTTTATTTCACTCTATTTGATTTTTTTTAAGCTCTGTTTTTCTTAGAATTTCGTAGTACTTGTTTCTGTATTTGTTTTTTTTGAAAAAGTGCAGAAGGAGTGTAAGATGAAGTGGAAAATTAAAAATAAGGTTGAGGTGATGTCTTTCTAAGCTTTATCATTTATGACAATATTTTTAATGCTTAACTTTGTATATATGCATGCTTCACTTGAAAATTATATTTTCTGCATATTCTATTTCGATTTTTTTGTGTCATTGAGGACAATGTCATTTTTAAGTTGGGGGGTGAAGTATTCATTATTAATTTATGCTATTGGACGATTAAGAACATGTGTTTGCATTAGAACAGAAATTGAAAAAATAAAAATAAAATATAATTTAGAAAAGCTACAATATCTATTTTCTGGTTTTCTGTCAGGAACAACAGATTGTCAAAAACAGCAGAGAAAAAAAACAGCCTGAAATTTGAAATTCTAGAGACCCTTTTCTCACATTTCAATCCCCTAGACATATATTACTGAAATTTGAAATTACAACTATAAAGAGGATAGTTTTGATTTATTTTTGACAAATTTATTGTTGCTAAAAATAGAACTGAAAATAGAAAATAGAACTGTCAGAACTATCTAATTTACAAATTTCTTACATCATATTACATGTATGAAAAATTAAATCAATTAGATTGATTGATATCAAAAGATACTAGGAAGATTATTATTGAGTCAAAAGAATGATCTAGTAGCATAAAATGTTAGAATACTCCTTGGATACATGATAGATAACATAGATTTGATTTTACAGATTTTCACTTCATGATCTTGATGGATAGTATTTACTTGATGTGAAAATTTGATTGATTATTTGAGTTTAATGGAGATTTTTGCACCTTGATCTATAGGACTTGTGAGGAGAAATCAATTATTTTGGAAAAAAAAAAAGAAAAGAGAGAGCAATGTGAAAAATCTAGAAACGAAGAGTACACATAGAGGGTGTGAGACATCATTCTCATTGTCGAAAATTGTGTATAGAAAAATACTTGCTGCAAAATAAGTGGATAAAGTGAAAGCCTTGAAAATTAAGAGTACACATGGAGGGTGTGAGACATCATTCTTATTGTCAAAATTTGTCTACAAGAAAAACTACTTATCCACTATATATATATAAATAAAAAAGAAAAGGAAGAAATATAGTGCAAACTTCAAAAATTAAGCCATAGAAAAAAGGAAATGTAGGATCAATATTATTCTTAGATGATTATTGATAATTGGAACATCTTGTAAATATATCTATGAGTGAAGAAGTGATAAAGATGTGAATAAAAAAAGTGAAGTCTAGATTGTTATTCCAAGGAGTGCTTAAACATTTAAGTGCTTGACATCATTCTTAAGTACTTGATATAAGAGTCCAAAGTGTCTAAAGGTGCATCATTTCTAATTGTATTTTTTTTATGTATTGAAATATGATGTTTGAGATTTGTAAATTTTTATTTTCGTAATTCTATTACTAAGGGACTAGTAATGATTTAAGTTGGGGGGTGTGATAAGTTTTCATTATCATGAGTTAATAATTAGTAAATAATATAGTTTTAGCCTTAACTCATGATAAATAGACTTATACTTATGTTAACGTGTGAAAAGTGGTTTTTAGTTGATTAATGTGAATTTTTGGGTAATTATGTGATTTTATAGAAATTTATATGATTTTTACAGTTTTACTTTTGAGATAAATGAAGAAAAAGAAATAAAAATAAAAATAAGACAAAATGGGAGGGACCCGTCGGGCCCGCAAGCGGGTCGGAAGCGCAGTTAGGGAGTAGCCACAAGCAGGGGCTTGAGCGGCTTGGACCGATAGGGGCACATGTGCGCCACCCCCCTTCCATGTCACCAGTGGCCAGCCGGCTGTGGGGCAAGGAGTGGTCGTACATGCGCGAGAAAGGGATGATTAGAAATGTAATATTACTATATATTCACCAGAAACAATCGATGTGGGACTAAACCCGTGTCACCTTCCCCAGAAAGGGGCAGGCAACTAGTGCGGGTTCGAATCCTCCTAGAGCCAAAACTCATATCTTTATCTGATTATCGCGACTTTCCTACAGATCGCCAGTGAAGGATTAAGCAACTAGAATCGTTGGATCATCGGCGAAAATCTCGTCAACACAATTCGCGGAGCATTGTTACTAAAATTGCTGAACGATTCGTGATAAAAGGATCGTAAATTCATCAAGTAAATCATCTCCGATTGATCGACAAACAAGCCGTCGTCGGGAAGAGGACGATCCGCCGGGAGACGAGTTGCCACCTCCTAAGAGTATACCAGATGCGATGAAGAGCTTCCTCTTTCTGCGCGGACCTGAAGATGAAGCTTGATAAGTCTCATTATCATGAGTTAATAATTAGTAAATAATATAGTTTTAGCCTTAACTCATGATAAATAGACTTATATTTGTGTTAAAGTGTGAAAAGTGGTTTTTAGTTGATTAATGTGAATTTTTGGGTAATTATGTGATTTTACATGAATTTATATGATTTTTACAGTCTTACTTTTGAGATAAATAAAGAAAAATAAATAAAAATAAGACAAAATGAGGGAGGGACCCGCCGGCCAGCCGGGCCTACAAGCGGGTCGGAAGCTCAGTCGGGGAGTAGCCGCGAGTAGGGGCTCGAGCGGCTTGGACCGATAGGGGCACGTGTGCGCCACTCCCCTTCCACGTCACCGGTGGCTTGCCGGCTGTAGGGCAAGGAGTGGTCGTACACGCGAGAGAAGGGACTTTGCTTACAAAGCTAATATTACAATATATTCGCCCGAAAACTCGGCGCACAACCGATGTGGGACTAAACCCGCGTCACACCCTCCTCAAAGGCGGGCGACCGGCGCGGGTTTGAATCCTCCCAGAGTCAAAATTTATATATTTTTATCTGATTATCGCGACTTTCCTACAGATCGCCGGTGAAGGATTAAGCAACGAGAATCGCTGGATCATCGGCGAAAATCTCGTCAACGCGATTCGCAGAGCATTGCTACTAAAATTGCTGAATGATTCGCGATAAAAGGATCGCGAATCCATCGAGTAAATCATCTCCGATTGATCGACGAACAAGCCGTCGTCGGGAAGAGGACGATCCGCCGGGAGACGAGTCGCCACCTCCTGAGAGCGTACCAGATGCAATGAAGAGCCTCCTCTTGCTGCGCGGACCTGAGGATGAAGCTCCCTGACACGCGCCCCACCTCCATCCAGCTCCTCTCCGTCGGGTGACAGCCGCCAGAGAGCCGCAAAGTCGCCATTTTTCCGCTCCGCCGGGTGACAGCCACCGGAGACGACTCGACGACCCATTCCATTGATCTCTAGATTTTGAAAGGAGATCTAGAGATTGCCCACGTCGTCTTTGTCCAAGGAGAGCCTTCAAGGCCGTGGACACTGCACGACGATCCTCCCGAACGCTCAGGATTCTGGTGCATCGCCGACGCATCACCGTCACGACGCCGGAACTCTGTTTTCCTGCTTTCAACTTACTTTACGCTTCATTTAGTGATATTTTTTGTGATTTTAATTTACCAAAATATACTTTGTTCTATTACGATTCTTCCGGCTTTTACAGATCTTAATTTGATTAATTAAATCGTCTATAATCACTTACGTAAGAATCGCCAGGCGGAACTCTGTTTCCGCCCGATTCGCGTTCGCCGGGCACTGACATCATCCTGACGTCTGCACCCTTATTTCCCTTTTTTTGTGAATTTTAAATATATTTCCATTTTATTTCCTAGTGTAAAATTCATAGAAAATCGTATTCATTGAGAAAAATTCTGAATAATTACCAGATATTATATTACATCTCTGTGATTGACTTGGAAAATTACCGCTATTTTTGGAAGTTTTATTGAATTATAATTGATATATTTGTTCAGAAATACTTCTAAATATCCAAAAATTCGTATTTTCTAGTTTTATAAATTTTAGATTTGCGTGATTTAATATACAACGATTGAGTCACGTCAAAGCTTCCTGACATACGTCCCACCTCCATCCAGCTCTTCTCTGTTGGGTGACAGTCGCCAGAGAGCCGCAAAGTCGCCGTTTTTCTGCTCCGCTAGGTGACAGCCGCCAAAGACGATTCGACGACTTATTTCATTGATCTCTAGACTTTGCAAGGAGATCTAGAGATTGCCCACATCGTCCTTGTCCAAGGAGAGCCTTTGAGGCCGTGGACACTACACGACTATCCTCCTGAACGCTCAAGATTCTAGTGCATTGCCGACGCATCGCCGCCGCGATGCCGGAACTCTATCTTCCTACTTTCAACTTACTTTACGCTTCATTTAGTGATAATTTGTGTGATTTTAATTTACTAAAATATACTTTGTTTAATTACGATTCTTCCGGCTTTTATAGATCTTAATTTGATCAATTAAATCGTCTATAATTGCTTATGTAAGAATCGTCGGGCGTAACTCTATTTCCATCCGATTCGCGTTCGCCGGGTGCTGACATCATCCTGACATCTGCACCCTTATTTCCCTTTTTTGTGAATTTTAAATATATTTTTTTTTCATTTACTAGTATAAAATTTATAGAAAATAGTATTCTTTGAGGAAAATTCTGAATAATTATCAGATATTATATTACATCCCTATGATCGACCTGGAAAATTACCACTATTTTTGGAAGTTTTATTAAATCATACTTGATATATTTGTTTAGAAATACTTCTAAATATCTAAAAATTTGTATTTTCTAGTTTTATCAATTTTAAATTTACGTGATTTACTATACAAAGATGAGTCACATCAATCACTATTCTAAATAAGTTTTCAGATAAACTATATGATATGATATATTTTTCCAAATTAGATGAAGTTTAGATATTATGAAATTCAATGAAGGAAGCTAACATTCCCAAAATAGGTTTTAAAACTATGAAGGCTACTATGAGTTCAAGGTTATACCATTCAAACTTTCAAATACTCCAGCCACCATCCCATCTTTGGTGAAAATTTCAGGTCATATCTCAAGAAATTTATACTATTACTCTTTGATGATATCTTAGTATATAGCCAAAATATAAAAGAGTATGAAGAGAATCTAAAAAATATATTTTTTATTCTCATAGCCAACAATTTATACATAAAGACAAAAAAAATTAATTCAGTCAACCACCACTAGAATATCTTGACCATTGGATTTCTATAGAAGGGGTATCTATAGATATAAGGAACATTTCAACCATAATAGAATGACCTATACCTAGGAATTTGGGACAATTAAGAGGATTCTTAAGGTTGACTGACTATTATCAGAGATTTTTCATAGGATATATAATTATAGCTTGGCCTCTAACTAGATTACTAAAGAAGAATTCATTTCATCACAATTCAAAAGCTCAAGTAGCCTTTGACAAGCTCAAAACAACAATGACTTCTACTCTAGTATTACCTCTACCTAATTTTTCATAAACATTTACAATTGAGATAGATATTTTAAGACAAGGAGTAAAGACAATTTTGATGCAACAAGGAAGACCAATTATCTATTTTAGTTATACTTTTCTTAAAAAATCTTGATCGAAGTTAGCTTGAGAGATTATGACTATTGTGATGTCAATAAGAAACAAGAATATTGTCTTATGTTTAAATTGTTTATTATTCAATTATATCACTATAGCCTAAAATTTCTATTTGATTAGAAGTAGATTTATTTAGAGTACCACAAGTGGGTTACTAAATTAATGGGGATCAATTTTCAAATATATTAGAAGGAATGGAAGAAGAATGCAATCGTGGATGCACTCTCTCAAGCTCTACAATTGAGTTTACTAAAGGCAGCGCCTATAAACATAGTGGAATCAGTGGATGTGTTGATCATCAATTAAGAGGTAGAAAAATATCAGAGGCTATCTAACATTAAAAATGTTACAATAGAGGGCTCAATTCCTTTCCAAATTACTCTATAGCAAGGATCACGTTTTTGTATAGGCCAATTGGTACTATTTACTACTCTTATTTTCACATGCTTATGAGAGTTTTATGACAATTCTTTAGGAGGTCATGCTGGGTTATTAAAGACCTACGAAAGAATTGCACATCATATATATTTGCCCAATATGAAGAAGAAGATAAAGCAACATATGAATGAGTGTCTTGTCTACCAGTAGAACAAGGTTTTTACTTTATCACTAACTAGTCTCCTACAACTATTACCTATCCCTAATATAGTATAGAAGGATATTTCTATGGATTTTATTAAGGGCCTACCTAAATCTAAAGCTTATGATTTTATTCTCATCATTTTTAACAAGCTAAGTAAATTTGAGTACTTTATACCTCTAAGGCACCCATCTACAACAAAAGACATAGTAAGTCTTCACAAATGATATTTTTCACTTACATGGTGATAAGTCTTAATTATCATGAGTTAATAATTAGTAAATAATATAGTTTTAGCCTTAAATCATGATAAATAGACTTATATTTATATTAAATTGTGAAAATTGGTTTTTAGTTGATTAATATAATTTTTTGGCTAATCATGTGATTTGTTACGAATTTATATGATTTTTATAGTCATATTTTTGAGATAATGAAGAAAAATAAATTAAAATAAAAATATAGTAAAAGGGGGGGACCTACCGGCCAGCCGGGCCCATAAGGGGGTCAGAAGTGCAGTCAGGGGGGAGTCACGAGCAGGGGCTCGAGCAGCTAGGACCGATGGGGGCACGTGTGCGCCACTCTCCTTCCACGTCACTAGTGGCCAGCTAGATGTGGGACAAAGAGTGGTGGTACATGTGGTAGAAATGGACTCATTGTTTGCAAATATAATATTACTATATATTCACTCAAAACTTCGATGCACAAGCGATGTGAGACTAAACCCACGTCACACATTCCCGTGAAAGACTTGGAATAATAATTTAGACTTCACTTCTTCTATTCACATCTTTATCACTTCTTCATTCATAGATATATTTACACGATGTTCCAATTATCAATACTCATCTAAAAATAATATTGATCCTATATTTCTCTTTTTTGATGACTTGATTTTTAAAGTTTGTACTATATTTCTTCTTTTTTTTTATATATATAGTACATAAATAGCTTTTCCTATAGACAAATTTCGACAATAAGAATGATGTCTCACACCCTCCATGTGTACTTTTCATTTTTAGGGCTTTCACTTTATCTACTTATTTTGTAGCAAATATTTTTCTATGCATGATTTTTGACAATGAGAATGATGTCTCACACCCTTCATGTGTACTCTTCGTTTCTAGATTTTTCACATTACTCTTTTTGTTTTTCAAAATAAGTGATTTCTCCTCACAAGTCCTATAGATCAGGGTGTAAAAATCTCTATTAAACTCAAATGATCAATCAAATTTTCACATCAAGTAAATACTATTCATCAAGATTATGAAGTGAAAATCTGTAAAATCAAATCCATGTTATCTATCATGTATCCAAGGAGTATTTCAACATTTCATCCTACTAAATCATTCTTTTAACTCAATAATAATCTTCCTAGTATCTTTTGATATCAATCAACCTAATTGATTTAATTTTTCGTGCATGCAATATGATGTAAGAAATTTGTAAATTAGATAGGTTTGACAGTTTTGCTTTCTATTTTTGGTTTTGTTTTTAGCAACAATAAATTTGTCAAAAATAAATCAAAACTATCATCTTTATAGCTATAATTTCGAATTTCAGCAATATATGTCTAAGGGATTAAATGTGAGAAAAGGGTCTCTAGAATTTCAAAATTTGGGCTGTTGTTTCTCTGTTGTTTTTGACAATCTATTGTTCATGACAGAAAACCAGAAAATAGATGTTGTAGTTTTTCTGAATTTTTTTTTAGTTGTTGTTCTAAGTGAGTATGAAAAAAAATACAAACACTTGTTCTTAATTGTCTTACAGTATAAATTAAGAATTAATATTTCACCCCCCAACTTAAAAATGACATTGTCCTCAATGACAGAGAAAAATTAAAACAAAATATGTAGAAAATATAATTTTCAAGTGAAACATACATATATGCAAAGTTAAGTATTAAAAATGTTGTCATAAATGATAAAGCTCAGAAAGACATCACCTTAACCTTGTTTTTAATTTTCCACTTCATCTTACACTCTTTCTCTTGCACTTTAAAAAAAAAAAAAAAAAACAAATACAGAAACATGTACTGCAAAATTTTAAGAAAAATAAAGCTTAAAAAAAATAGAATGAAATAAAGACTATGGGTTGCCTCCCATGCAGCGCTGAATTTAATGTCTCTAGCTAGACACATTAATCTTACTCTTGAATTTCTTTTAATAATAAAATTTCTTTTTCTGCAAGACGTTCATGTTCTATGTAATGTTTAAGCCGCTGTCCATTTATCTTCATGTTATGATCACTTTTAGGATCTTTAATCATTACAACCCTATGATCATGTTTCTTCCACCACATAAGGTCCTATCTATTTTGATTTTTATTTTCCTGAGAATAATTTCAGCCTAGAATCATATAACCACACTTTTTGTCTAACATCATTTTTTTTTCTGCTAATATATTTATCATGAAAAGTTTTAGTTTTTTCTTTATATATTCTATGATTTTCATAAGCTTCATTCCTCAACTCCTCTAGTTCATGTAGCTAAAAAATTCTATGCCCATCAGCTGATTTTTCATCCATAAATAAATTTTTTATAGCCCATAATGCTTTATGCTCTATTTCCACAAGAAGATGACATGGCTTTTCAAAAATGAGATAAAATGGGGACATACTTATGAAATTTTTATAAGCTGTTCTATAAGCCCATAATGTATCTTGTAATTTCGTGGGCCAATCTTTCCTATTTGGTCTAACTATTTTTCTCAAAATTCTCTGAATTTTCCTATTCGCTACTTCAGCTTGCCCATTTATTTGGAGATGATATGGAGTGGCTATTCTATAGTGTACTCTATTCTTTTTCAACAGTTCTCTGAAATGTATATTTGTAAAATATGTTCCTCCATCACTAATAATCACTCTAGGACATCCAAATTTTGAAAAAATATTTTCCTACACAAATTTCATCACGATTTTAGGATCATTAGTTCTAGTAGGAATAGCTTCCACTCACTTAAACATATAATCAACAACAAGTAAAATATATTTATATTTTTCAATTGATGAGAAGAGACTCATGAAATCTATTTCTCATACATCAAAAATTTCGACTACTAACATGTTACTTACGGGTATTTCATCTTTTTTACTCATGTTACCTATAGATTGACATGAAATACATGTTCTACTAAATTCTATAGAATCGTTAATGATTGTAGGCCAATAAAAATCACACTGAAAATTTTTTGCAGCTATTTTTCGTCCAGAAAAATGTCCTCCACAATTAGATGAATGACACATGTTAAGAATGCTATGATATTCTTCTTCAAGAACACATCTCCTTAAAATTTGATCATTGCCCAAGTAATATCTATCAAGATCATGCCAAAAATAATTTCTAATCTTAGAAAAGAAATGATGTTTTCTATTCTTATCCTACTATTCTGAAATTTTTTCAGAAATCAGAAAATTACAATATGTGTATACCATGGTGATGGTTGATGTTGAGCTGCCATCAATTGTTCATCTAGAAATGTGTCTTGTAAAGGTGCTGCATTTATTTTTGTATCACACAATCTAGAAAGATGGTCAACAACAACATTCTCGAAACCTTTTTTACCTTTTATTTCTAAGTCAAATTCTTACAACAATAAAATTCATCTTAATAAATTTGGCTTTGCATCTTTTTTATTTAACAAATATTTTAATACGACATGATCAGTATAAATAATAATTTTAGCTCTGAAAATATATGATCTAAATCTTTCTAATAAAAATATTACAACTACAACTCTTTTTCAGTTGTGATATAATTTAATTGAGCATCGGATATAGTTTTACTAGCATATGAAATTACTATGGGTTTTGACTCTTTTGTTTGTCCTAAAGTGGCTCCCACTACATAATTTGATGCATCACACATTATTTCAAAAGGAAGAGACTAATCAGGAGCTTGTAAAATAGGTGCCTCAATAAGTAATCCTTTTATTTCAGAAAAGACTCAAAACATTTCTCATCAAAATTAAAAGGCACGTCTTTAGATAATAACATGGTGAGAGGTCAAAAACTTTTCGAAAAATTTTGAATAAATTTTCTATAATAACCTACATGACCTAAGAAAGATCTAATCTGTTTTACTGAATTCGGAAGTTTCATTTTAGATATAATATCAGTTTTTACTCCAACCACCTCTAAACCCCTTTCAATCACAATATGACTCAACATAACTCCCTCTCTAACCATAAAATGTAATTTCTTCAAACTCAAAACTTTTTTTTTCTGCATACATTTCTTAAGTACATGCTATAAATGATTTAAGCATTTATCAAATGATTCACCAAAAATAGAAAAATTATTCATAAAAATTTTCATGTATTTTCTAATCATATTAGAAAAAATAGACAGCATACATCTTTGAAATGTGGCTGGAGCATTACACAAACTAAAAGGCATGCATTTAAAAGCAAAGTACCAAATGGACAAGTGAAAGTTATTTTTTCTTGATCTAAAGAGTTTATATAAATTTGATTATAACTAGAGTATCCATCTAAAAAATAAAAAAAGTTTTTTCTAGCTAAGTTTTTTAGAATTTGATTAGTAAATGGTAGGGGAAAATGATCTTTTCTAGTAATTGGATTTAACTTTTTATAATCAATGCAAACCTTTCAACCGCTAGTTAATCTTGTTCATATTTCATCCCCATTTTTTTTATAATCATGATCTCTGATTTTTTTGGCACCACTTGTGTAGGATTAACTCATTTGCTATCTGAAATAGGATAAATAATATCAGCTATCAGCCACTTTTTCTTTTTTTTTACAATTTTCATCATGTTAGGATTTAATCTTCGTTGTGGTTCCTTACTAATTCTAGCCCCCTCCTTTAGATATATATTTTACATGCATACACTCATATCAATGCCCCTAAGATCATCTATTTCCTAGCTAATAGACTTTTTATTTTTTCGAAGTACATCTAATAATTTTTCTTCCTATTCATCACTCAAATCAGTTGCAATAATAATAGAAAATGAATTATTTTCCTCCAAAAACATATATTTTATACTAGAGGGAAGAGGTTTCAACTCTAAATTCAGATGATTCTCTTCTTTCTTTTCTCTGAAATTTATATTCTCTATTTCCTCTAATTCTTCTAGCACATAGTCATCAAGAACATTTGGATCACCAAAATCATCTAGAAAATCTATGGTATGACAATCATATATTTGGGATTTCTTAAAATCATTTGATACCTTAAAATTTTAATTTCTACTGATTGATCTCCACATAAAATTTTCGTAATACCTATAGGAAAATCAATATTCATCTTTGCTGTATGCAAAAATGGTCTCCCTAAGACGATTGATGTATCATAAAACTGTCCATTAAAATTCATTTCTAGTACTACAAAATCAGTTGAAAATTTACACCCTTTAACTATTACTATCACATTGTCTAAAATACCTTTAGGATGTTTTATGGATCTATAAATAAATTTTAAGGTAACAGTAGAAAGTTTAAGATCAAAAATATTAAATTTATCACAAATACTTGCAGGTAATAAATTAATGCTAGCACCAGTATCAAGTAATACATTCTGAAAAATGGATCCACCAATATCACACGAAATTAAAGGGGCACCAGTACCTCTCAATTTATATGGTAATTAATTTAATAATAAAGCACTAACATGCATAGATAATTTTTCTACTCTAGGTGTCTTTTTTGGTGTATACATTTCTTTCAAAACTCTAGCATATTTAGGAATATGTTCAATGGCAGTGAGTAAAGGAAGACTAATTTGCACATCTTATAAAATTTTCTTTATTTCTTCATTGTGTTCTTTTTTTTTTCTTTCTCTAGGCTCTAGAACTTTAGGAAATGAAATGGTTGTCCTTTCTTTTGGAATTTCCTTGGTAGAATCTATAAAATCCTCTTTTACTCCTATTTGATTTTGTTTTGGGCTGTCCACATTTTTCTTTTCTTCTAATTTTTGGAGATAAGGATCAAGTAAAATCTTCCCACTCCTTAATGAATTCATTGTCCTAATATTTTTCATTTTGTAGGTTTTTTCCTAGATTCATGCTACTAGACTCCTCATACTGAAATCTTATTGTAGGGCGATTCCTTAGATTTTCTATGGGCTGACTAGGTAGTTGTCCCTCTTCTCTCTTATTCCCAAGAGCCTCTATAATTTGTTGCTGCTGCATTATCATTTGATTCATAATTTTTTGCATCATTTGACTCATTTGCTACATCATTTCCATAGCATCAGGTTGGGTTTGAGAGGACTAATTTTTCTGAAATCTGTTTTCCTATTTTGGATGAAATTTAGAGTTTGAATTAGATCTAAGTGCTTCTAGATTTTAAATATTATTTAGGTCTCTCCATGAAAAAATATTTCTCTAATTAGGATTATAAGAATTAGAAAAAGGCTTCCTATTTTTATTAAAATCGTGAGCTACTTGCACCTGTTCTTGCATAGAGTAAAATGATTGATCTAAATTATAGTATTGAAATTCAGAATAATCATTTTCACCATACATAGGACATGTACTATTTGAATTGAATTGAGGGTTAAGAGACTTTCTAATATTGTCAATAAGTAAATCAAGTTTTTTAATATTTGATTAATCTGATTAACCTCATTTTGTAAATTAGAATCATTTTGATGATGCAATTCATAAATTCTTCTCTTCTTATCTTTGTCATATAATTCAAAAGAGGCTTGATCTCTAGAATTTTCACTTACATTCTCATAAGAACTATAAATTTCATCAGGGATTTTCTCCATAAAAGCTCTTCCATATATAGAATCAACCATATTTCTATGTTATTCTAATAATCCATCATAAAAAATTCTATTGAGCTACCACTTGAGTATAGCATGATGAGGACACTTTCTAAGTAAATCTTTGAATTTTTCTCATGTCTCATGCAAAGTTTTTCTTGATCTTTGAGAAAAACTCTATATATGTTTTCTCATATTTTGAGTTTTTCCTAAGGAATAATTTTTTTGAAGAAAGGCATGTTCTATATCTTTTTAGTTAGTTAATTTCTCTATCTAATGTGGATAGTCAATGACTAGCTTTGTCTCCAAGTGTCTGAGAAAATAATTTCATTTTAATAATTTTTGGTGTAACTTGAGGGAGATTAACTAAATCACAGACCATATAAATTTTTCTAAATGCTGATGAGATTTCTCTAAAGGCAATCCATGAAAATTAGGGAGCATTTGAAATTTTTTTAGATTTATTTCGAATTTAATAGTAGGTGTTAATAAGACTCTAATATTGGATGCTCTTTGAAATGAATCAAGGATATAATGATTTTTCATGGCCATAGGATTATTCTCAATTTGACCTGTACTTCCTTCAGGATCCATCAAAATTAATTTTTCTTTTGGATTTTTAGTTTTGAATGAAATAATGAAAGGATTTTCTAGCCTTGGATGCAAAGATCTTCTACCATGCATAAAAATCAATAAATTCGAAGAAAAAGTTTAATAATTGTTACCCTCGTTCAGTATGCTTCAATCCTTGCCTTGCTTCTCTTCGTTCCCTTTTTTTTAAAATTTTTTTCAGCAATAAGAAAATAAAACAAGAGTTAATTTTTTGTGTACTCTAAGAGAAAAATAGACAAATACTAAATATTATGTAATACATCTCTGGCAATGGCACCAAAATTTTACGTGACTTAAATCGTTGTATAGTAAATCACGTAAATTTAAAATTTATAAAACTAGAAAATACTATTTTTCAGATATTTAGAAGTATTTTTGAGAAAATATATCAATTATAATTCAATAAAAATTCTAAAAATAGTGGTAAATTTTCAAGTCAATCATAGGGATGTAATATAATATCAGGTAATTTTTCAGAATTGTTTTCAAAGAATACATATTTTTATGAATTATATACTAAGAAATAAAAATAAAATATATTTAAACTTCATAAAAATGGAAAATAAGGGTGCAGATGTCAGGATGACGTCGGTGCCTGACAAACACGAATCGAGCAGAAATAGAGTTTCACCCGATGATTCTTACATAAATAATTACAGACAATTTAATTGATTAAATTAAAATTTATAAAAGTGAGAAGAATTGTAATTGAATGAAGTATAGCTTGGAAAATTTAAATCACATAAATTATTACTAAATGAAGCAGAAATTAAGTTGAAAGTAGGAAAATAGAGTTCCGACGTCGCGGTGGCGATGTGTCAGCGATGCACCAGAATCCTAAGCGTTTAGGAGGATCGTCGTGTAATGTCTATGGCCTCAAAGGCTCTCCTTGGACAAAGATGACATAGGTAATCTCTAGATCTCATTGCAAAGTCTAGAGATCAATAAAATGGGTCGTCGAATTGTCTCTGACGACTATCACCTAGCGGAGCAGAAAAATGGCAACTTTGCGGCTCTTCGGCAACTATCACTTGATGGAGAAGAGCTGGATGGAGGTGAGGCACGTGTCAGAGAACTTCATCCTCAGGTCTATACAGCAAGAGGAGACTCTTCATTGCATTCGGTGCGCTCTCATGAGGTGGTGACTCATCTTCCAACAGATTGTCCTCTTCTCGATGACAGTTTGTTTGTCGATCAATCGGAGATGATTTACTCAATGGATTCGTGATCCTTTTATTACAAATTGTTTAGAAATTATAGTAACAATGTTCTGTGAATCATGTTGACGATATTTTTCGCCAATGATTCAACAATTCTGGAGACTTAATCCTTCACCAGCGATCTGCGAAAAAGTCACAATAATCAGATAAAAATACGAGTTTTGGCTCTAAGAGGATTCGAGCCGCCTCGGTTGCTCACTTGCATGAGAGAGATTGAAATAAGTACTCTAATGCTCTTATCAAGTGACATCATCATGGTATATCTTTGTTATAATGAAGGGGTAGTTTAGGTATTAAAATCTTCAAAGCCTTTCGGGGGAAGGTGTGATGTGAGTTTAGTCCCACATTACTTGCGCACCGAAGTTTTGGGTGAATATATAATAATATCACATTTGCAAGCAATGAGTCCCTTTCTCCCGGGTGTACGACCACTTCTTGCCTCACAGCCGGCTGGCCACTGGTGACGTGAAAGGAGAGTGGCACACACGTGCCCTCATCTCTCCCCCCGACTACACTTCCGACCTACTTGCACGCCCAGCTGGCCAGTAGGTCCCCACCATTTTGCTATATTTTTATTTTTATTTCTTTTTCTTCATTTATCTCAAAAGTAAACTATAAAAATTATATAAATTTGTAGAAAATCACATAATTAACAAAAAATTCACGTTAATCAACTAAAAACTACTATTCACACTTTAACATAAATATAAGTCTATTAATCATGAGTTAAGGCTAAAACTATATTATTTACTAATTATTAATTCATGATAACGAAGACTTATTAATGACGTCACTTGATAAGGGCATTAGAGTACTTATTTCAATCTCTCTCATGTAGGCATGTAACCGACACGAATTCAAATCCCCCTAGAGCCAAAATTTGTATTTTTAACTGACTATCACGACTTTCTTGTAGATCGTCAGTGAAGGATTAAGCCGCCATAATCGTTGGATCATCGACGAAAATCTTGTCAACACGATTCGCAGAGCATTACTATTAAAATTGTTGAACAATTCGTGATAAAAAAATCACGAATTCATTGAGTAAATCATCTTTAATTGATTGATGAACAAGCCGTCATCAAGAAGAAGACGATCCACTGAGAGATGAGTTGTCACCTCTTGAGAGCATACCAGATGTGATGAAGAGGCTCTTCTTGTTGCGTAGACTTGAGGATGATGCTCCCTAACATGTGCCCCACCTCCATCCAACTTCTCTCCATCGGGTGACAGACGCTGGAGAACCACAAAGTCGTCATTTTTCTATTTTGCCGAGTGACAGTCACTAGAAATGATTCAACGACCCATTTCATTGATCTCTAGACTTCGCAAGGAGATCTAGAGATTACCTACATTGTCTTTGTCTAAGGAGAGCCTTCGAGGCTGTGGATACTACATGATGATCTTCCCAAACACTCAAGATTTTGGTACATCACCGACGCATCACCGCTGTGATGCCAGAACTCTATTTTCTTACTTTCAACTTAATTTTCATTTTATTTAGTGATAATTTGTGTGATTTAAATTTATCAAGTTATACTTCATTCAATTACGATTCTTCTAACTTTTATAGATTTTAATTTGATTAATTAAATCATTTATAATCACTTAAGTAAAAATTACCAGGCAAAACTCTATTTCTATCCGATTTGCATTCATTAGTTATTTATTTTTTTCGTGAGTTTTAAATATATTTTATTTTTATTTCTTAGTATAAAATTTATAAAAACTCATATTTTTTGAGGAAAATTCTGAAAAAATACCTGATATTATGTTACATTCCTCTGATTGATTTAAAAAATTATCACTATTTTTAAAAGTTTTATTGAATTATAATTGATATATTTGTTCAGAAATACTTCTAAATATCTGAAAATTAATATTTTCTAATTTTATAAATTCTAAATTTGTGTGATTTACTATACAATGACTAAGTCACGTCACATGACTTACCTAAGTCTACTGTAGTTGATAGAGGAAGTGTCTTCGCAAACCCTTTTTAGAGATTACTAAATAAATACAAGACACTAAACTTATAAACAATTTTCATCATCATCCACAAATAGATGATCAAATAAAGGTCATAAATCCAAGCTTAGAAACCTAGCTCAAATGTGTTGCCTATGATAAGCCTAAATTGTGTAGTGAGTCGTTACACTAGCAAAACTTAGCTATAATACTCACTCAAATATCTAGATGATGCCTTTCAAAGTAATTTATTATTGAGATCCTCTCACATTTTCACAATATGAGCTACCTATTTCATCAATCAATGAAGTAGGCAAATATTTAATTGAACATGATTAAATACTTCAACTTTTGAAGGAAAATTTATTGCATGTACAGTCCAAGATGAAAAAACAAGCAAGTAAACATAAAAGTGACAAAATTACAAGTGAGAGAGAGACTTCATTTATATAGAACTCAAACCCTATCACATGAGGACATTGGCAAAGAAGCTCAACAAAAAGCTTGGTCCTAAGTTTTTTTGTTGATATCCCATCAAGGGGCGAATTAGACTAGTGGCATATAAATCAGAGCTACCAAATAACACAACTCTTCATCTAGTGTTTCATGTCTCATAGTTTTGTAGAGCCGGGAAAATCTGGATTGCAGTCAACAAATTCTAAGAGTGCTTATAGAAGATATAAAATGAGTAATTGTTCCTCAAGACATCCTTCCTTTCATAGTTCATCTTTTAATGTGAAAGTACTAGTCAAATAGAAAAACCTTCTTGACTATGAAGCCTCATGGGAAAACATAAAAAAATCAGCAGCAATTTTTAGAATTCCACCTTAAAGACATGGTGAAACTCATGGGAGGTAGAGTCTTGATAACCCTCAATACACTTATTTAGGAGGAAAACCCAAGTCCAATAAGAGAATAACTGAACGTGAGATTATGGGGAGCTCCAAATAGACTAAAGGAATAATAAGAACTTCATAAAGCATGCCAAATTATCTACAACATTGACTAATAGTGTAATACCAAATTAACTTACATGTTGAAGAGAGCATGATCTTTCACAATGAACTTATAGCACTGGCGAAGCATGTTCTCAGAAAGTTTAGTGCAATGACTTTGGAGAAAGTCCTAGACTTTGCGGCGAATTTTCTAGAAAACAAGCCACTCTCACTTCTTATGTCTAAAAGAAGGCCACCTGCTACATGCTCGAAGTACTCTTGAGCCATTTTGAACTGTAGGGGTGAAACATTCTCAGTATAATACGACATAGGATGAAGAAATATAATAATAGTAATCAATGACGTCATGATAATTTAGTCAATGAATATAGAACACGAGCCTACATAAATCAGCCTATTTTAATGAATTAAATATTGATTTTTTCAGAGTACCTCCTCCTCAAGACCTGGGAATCCATTTCTACTAAAACTTTGTCACCATCCCCTCTTGTAAAAAAAGAGACAAGTGAACTCCTAAAGAGGGAAATCATCAAAGAAATATTAGTGTATAATTATGAAGCCCCTGATTTACAATTGTAATCAAGTGATGGATTGAAGGGCGACAATCAGAATAGGAACTGAATGGGAATCTTTGATTGCATGGTTGAGCAGCTGTTAACATGTATCTGTATTTCTTTGTAAATTTATATTTGCCAATTCACGTAAATTTTTAACTATTGTATTGTCAAAGAAAATGGCCATTGGTCGTATGATGAAATCAGCCTTGTCTCCCCCAGAATTATAGTTTGAAAAAGCATTACCAAATTAAGTTTCATATATTTTTTTAAAGTGAGTATTTCCTAATTGAATTTAATATTATTAGCCCAGTTCATTTTTGAGAAGCTTGAGATAGGACACATAGAGCTAGTTTTCCAAATTTAGATAATTTTTTACCCTGTGGATGGGTCTTTTGGGATCATGGACTTCAAATAATTTTTGCCTTTCTTTTAATCTGGTGAAGTCTTGTTTTACAGATGGGTCTCTAGCTCCCTTGCAACCCCTGGAGAAATCATGGCAAAGTGCCAGTGCCACAAAGGGCCTCCAAAACATTCGATGAAACTTTGTTCTTTTTACACAAGTAAATGGAGTCACTCAAACAAGAAGAAACAGGTACTACGTCACGGACCTGAACATCTCAGTCCCTGAAGGCTTGTATTCATTATACTCCCTAATCCCAGATGTGACGGTGAGATCCAGATACGTATTCCTGCTGGAGAATGGCTTGTTGCACCTTTCACACTTGAAACCAGACCTGTAGATGGCGACCTGATGAACCACACCAACGCTCAGATATCCAAGCGAAGATAATAGGCATGCCAGAGAGGTTCAGAAATGAGGTGTTCTCACTGGTTTAGGCCTGAGGGCTCCTTCCTTATCAGTGGTTCATAGCAAATTGGGCAAGCAAATATGTCGAGTTCTGGACTAACATCCTCCTGCATAATTGAAGCTTCTCGACTCAATATTTCTCCATCGGCATTGAAACAAGACCACACGACTGTACAAAAAACTGTCAAGACAGATCCGAAGGAACGATCAGACCAGATCTAAGACTATCAGGCGTACTTAGTTCTCCACAATCACAGTAATCCGAGACCAGTCTCCAGAAGTTAGGTAGGACTCCTACCTTCCCAGCAACGACCACCGCGGCTTTGATCCGGAACCTTGCGGGTGAATGCAGCCTCCGCTCCCGGCAGAAGCGAATCAGAAACCCCGGATTGGCGGAGATCCTCCACAGAACCTGTTCTGCCTGTCGGAGGCGAGAATGAGAACGGAAGGACGCCAGAAGCGTCGCGGAGGAGGCCATCGCCACTTCGCCGCCTCTTCCTCCTCAATTTCCGTCTCTACTCTTCGATCCTTCGATCTTCTGGAGATCGAAAATCCCACGTACTTTGAAGCGTCCTGGTAGACGTGAAGTTCTGAGCTTCACGTCGCTCGCAGCATTGGTCTACAGTAGGCAGGCGTTCAGTTGTATCCGTGGAACCTTTTCTCTTAACAAGAGGCCAACGTTGACTCCCCACCCCCCTTCCTCACCTACGCCCATTGGGAAAATTTTCGGGACATGTGGGCAATTTAGCAGACTAGTCCGCTTCATTATTTAATTAGAGGCCCGGTTGGACATGTGGGCCAGCTTCTGTGCTCAGGGCCAATAACTGGATGGCCTCGGAAGGCGGTCCAATGAGATTGGCGTTTCCAGAACGGAATATTTCAACTGTCCCGCTTGAACAGTTTTGGATTAGCGAGGTTCTGTTCGTTGACTCGCCGTTTTTTTTTACTGACAACCAACCGACGACTCCCGTCTCTCTCCTTCTCTCTCGCGCTCTCTCTCTCTCTCTCTCTCTCTCTCTCTCCTTCTTTCTCCCCCTCTCTCTCTGTACCAATGTCTGTATGTCTTCATCTATGTATCTCTCTATAATTAACCCACCCAAAGTGTGAAGAAAAAGCAAAAAAGTGTATAGTTTATATAGTCTGATACTTCAGCTGGGCCGTGGCTTTAGGTCGATCAGAGAATTCTCTCTCTCTCTCTCTCTCTCTCTCTCCTCCTCTACTTCCCGACATCCAAGTGACTCAATAAAACCCTAAAACGTGCACCATTTAACACATACTCAAGATAGGCCAGATTCTTTCGCGAGCCTCTACGTCAAGTAATAAAGAAAGAGAGAAATACGATCAACCCATTTTAATGGTGCTCATTATTCTTGGATGAATGTGTGCTCAAAAATTCACACACATGACATGAAGTCAGTTGTGAATGTTTTCAATTTATTTTAATCATTAAATGCTCATTGATCAGCCTTTAATCTTAGTGATTTTGCATTCAAAAAAAGAAAAGCCTCCTTTCTCTCTTTCTTTATTATCATCTTATTTCTTTATCCAAATGACTTCACCGTGCATGATGAAGAGCGTCCTTTTGCTGCGCGGACCTGAGGATGAAGCTCCCTAACACATGTCCTCTCCATCTAGTTCCTCTACGTCAAGTGATAGTTGCTGGAGAGTTGCAAAGTCGTCATTTTTTCACTCTATCGGGGGGCAGCCACCAGGATAGCTTCTCTTTATTTCTGCCTGATTCATGTTTGTCAGGCACTAACGTCATCTTGATGTCCGCACCCTTATTTTTCTTTTTTGTGAATTTTAAATATATTTTATTTTCATTTCCTAATATAAAATTTATAAAAAATAGTATTCTTTGAGAAAAATTCTAAATAATTACCTGATATTATATTACATCCATATGATTGATTTAGAAAATTACAACTATTTTTGAAAATTTTATTAAATTATAATTGATATATTTGTTCAAAAATACTTTTAAATATTCGAAAATTGGTATTTTCTAGTTTTATAAATTTTAAATTTGCATGATTTACTATACAACAACTAAGTCACGTTATGAAGTGCACTTGTTGTTGTGTTTAAATGCACATTATCTAATAATATTTATAACTAAGACTTAATAAAATATTAGTATAGAAGTAAGTCTCAAGTGAAACATAGGGAGATTGATTAATCTGCCGTGAAAACTAATTTAATTTATATATAAAGTAAATTTAATATCATATTAATATTTAATAGAAATAATAAAATAGAAGGGTGAAGTGAGAAGAATAAAGGAAGGAAAGCAGAGAAAGGAAGGAGGAAAAGAGAGAAAGAAGAGAAAGAGCTCTCACAAAGGATGAGAGAAGAGATCTCTTGTGAAAGAGAAAGAAAGAGAGAGGAGGAAATCTCATGTGAGATAGAGAGAGAGAAAGGTCTCACAAGGGAGAGAAGGAGAGAGAGGGAGATCAATTAATCAATAGAGAGAGAGAGATCTCACGAGAGATAGAGAGAGAAATAAGATGATAATAAAGAAAGAGAGAAATACAATCAACCCATTTTCATGGTGCTCATTATTCTTGGATGAATGTGTGCTCGAAAATTCACACACATGACATGAAGTCAGTTGTGAATGTTTTCAATTTATTTTAATCATTAAATGCTCATTGATCAGCCTTTAATCTCAGTGATTTTGCGTTCAAAAAAAGAAAAATACTCGTTATTTATGAAACACTGGGAATATGAATATGTCGAGATTCAACTACACAAATCAATAGAAAATAAGTTGAGAATGATCTTAACTCGATCTCAGACAAGTTTTAGAGGATTCAAAAGAAGAATAAAGATCATTCATCAAGTTTTGAATTAGTTCTACTCATTTCAATCAAAACATACATGAAATAAAAATAAATTGCAGTAAAATATAAATAAATAATAAAAGTAGGTAAGTAAATTCTGAAATCAGAAAATAAATTGTTGCTCAGATTTAGTCTGCCTCCTAGGCAATTAGAGACATCGGTGTGGTGACTTAGTTTTGTTTGGATGTGCCGCACCACGTTGGAAGTTGTAGAAGTATTGGTCGGAAGCATTGTGCCACTTGTTGGAAAGATCCGTCAAAAGAAAGGTCGACCATGCTGTTACCGTTGTTTAGGGGGAGAAGGAAGGAGCTGACCACTTGTCGAAGGCCTTGAGTGCAGTCGAGGGAGGAAGGAATGAACTTATCGATTGTCGGAGATGTTGATTTTGCAAAAAGAGGGAAGAATGGATTTCCATATTCACAACTGTAATGAGTTTAAAGATAATCGATAATATCTATTTTATTAGAAAATAATTAATTATTATCATTATATCCCTAATGGTGATACATGCGAGAACTTAAGTTCTCCATATCATGGTGTTTTAAGAGCTATTGGATCAAATATGTTTGGTCACATGGTGCACTGAATGACGCAAGATCAACCCACCACAAATTGTTGTTGACGTCACTTAGTCATTGTATAGTGAATCACGTAAATTTAAAATTTATAAAACTAGAAAATACTAATTTTCAGATATTTTAAAAGTATTTTTGAAAAATATATGAATTATAATTTAATAAATTTTCTAAAAATAGTAAAAAAATTCTAAGTCGATCACAAGGATGTAATATAATATCAAATAGTTTTTCAGAATTTGTTTCAAAGAATATGATTTTGTCTGAATTTTAAACTAAGAATGAAAATAAAATATATTTAAAATTCACAAAAAAGGGAAATAAGGGTGCAAATATTAGGATGATGTCAGCACCTGACGAATACAAATTGGGCAGAAATAGAGTTCTGCCCGGCAATTCTTACGTAAGCGATTACAAAAGATTTAATTGGTCAAATTAAGATTTGTAAAAACCGGAAGAATCATAATTGAATGAAGAGTAGTTTGGAAAATTTAAATCACATAATCTATCTCTAAATGAAGTAAAAATTAAGTTGAAAGTAAGAAAAATAAAGTTTCGGCATCACGACGGTGATGCGTCAGCGATGTACTAGAATCTTGAGCATTTGGGAGAATTGTCGTGTAGTGCCCATAGCCTCGAAGGCTATCTTTGGACAAGGATGACATGGGCAATCTCTAGATCTTCTTGTAAAGTCTAAAGATCAATAAAATGGGTTGTCAAATCGTCTCATGTGGCTGTCACCTAGTAGAGTAGAAAAACAACGACTTTGCGGCTCTTAAGCAGCTGTCACCCAATGGAGAGGAGTTGGATAGAGGTAAGGTGCGTGTTAGAGAATTTCATCCTCAGGTCTATGTAGCAAGAGGAGGCTCTTCATTGCATCTGGTATGCTCTCAAGAAGTGGCAACCCATCTCCTAGTGGATCATCCTCTTCTTAACGCCAACTTATTTGTCAATTAATTGAAGATGGTTTACTCAATGGATCTGTGACCCTTTTATCACAGATCATTTAGTAATTTTAGTAATAATGCTCTG